CCAATTGAAAGGGAAAAAATGTTAAATCAAACATTTCACTAACACTTTCAATAGTTAATTTTTCATAGGTTCTGTGCGACCCATTTCATCGTTGAAATCAAAATAGCGCGCGCGCGCGTGCGCGCACATACACAGGCAGCATCGGGTAAGTGAACGAAGCGAGAATGGGCGTCATAGTCAATCAATCAAGTCGAAAAATAAGATAAATCTAACGAAATCGAAAGAAGCAAAGAAAAAAACCATCCATAGTAAATGCACATAAATTCCAAAAAATGATGCAAAACATCAGAAAGATCGTTATGTAAATCGATTTTGTTACGTTAGACGCTGTAGCGTACAACATAGGCGGTGGTAATATATTGTCTTCGCGAATTGATACGAATGAAAATGTAGATTATGTGAATTTCTGACAGTGATTGTCTCACGAAATACGGCTCAGACTACTTAATGCAATGTTGCTCCAATTTTTAAGTGCACTCGACAAAATGAATAAAAATATATAAGAGAGATGAAAAAGAAGAGAGAAAAAAAACGCTTTTTCGATTACACGCCTAATTTCAACAGAGAAAGATAGAGAGGACGAGATTGAAATCAACAGAGAGAGAGAGAGAGAGAGAGAGAGAGAGAGAGAGAGAGAGAGAGTGACAGACTTGAAAGTATGCAGCGTGGCGTTACGCTTAAGAATCGGTCATTTTGTGTGTGTATTTGTTTGTGTTTGCATTGAAATGCCGCTTCGGCGGAACAAGAACGCTTTTTCTTGTTTAATATGGTCGGTGTGGCGCGCATGCATCAAACGAAAGACGGAAGAAATTAAATCAAGAACAGTTTTAGCTGTCAGTGAGTGAATAAAAGCTAAAAGGAATCAAATCATAATAAAACAGCCATTTGCCATCACTAACTGTGCATTCACTACACTTAAAAATAGAAAGCGCCCGAAGAAATGCCAATAAATTTAATGTTTCTGCCAAAAATCGAAAATATTCCAATCAGAAACCATATAGTCATCTCGTAACTATCCAACTTATCGTCACATATATGTATGCTGTTTGATTGATCTGATTAGAGATATTGCATCACATAAGCATAAGCGACCGTCGTTTTTCGATCGATTTGGGCTTTCATTTGCTGCACTTTGGTTTTTTTTTTTTTTTTCAAATTAGAACGACAAATTCCAATTTATACCGGTTAAATAATGCAGCCAAATGATGTCGAAATATCAAGTTCTCTTTTCCTCTTCGATCAATTTGCTTCGTGTTTGCAACTGTTTCTATTTCTAGCCATGCAATTTTCATTTGGATACACAACACTTAACAACAACAAAACGAACAGAAACGAGAATAAAAATGAAAACCAAATCAACTTTATTTTTATACATATTTTGTTCATAAACATTATTGGCGGCGACGGCCAGCCGGTTTTTAAGTTTTAGTTCTCGGCTATGTGCAAGAAAAAAAAACATCCAAAGCTACAAATCCAAATTTGTTGTTAATTGTACGGAGGCTTGGGGTGTTGGGAAAGATGGGGGAGAGGGACCATGAACGAAACGTGTGCTTTATGCAACTTATGAATTTACCATGGAGTGACATATGGACATCAAGCATGGTCGAAATGGAAATTTGCTTCTTGTCAATCTCAATTGATGTGATTGATTTTTTGGTTTATGTTTCTTTTGGCGATCCGATTCGAATGAAAATTGCTCGGATTTTGTGAATGTTTATGAAATTTTGCGCCAAATCAACAGGACAATAAACAATCGGATTAGTTGAACTAATAACTTTTATTATTTAATCTCTCACCCACAAATGAGTTACAACACACTGAGTCACATCGCGCGCCGCTGTCGGCCAATCGTTTGCAAGATAGAATTGGTTTCGTTTCAGTTCCATTTGCATTTGCATCCAAATGTCGGCAAATACGAAAAAAATATCACACAAACACAGACACGCAGTGAAATCGCTGTGTATTTCTCAGCATTTTTTTCTCTCTGTTGGGTATGGAGTTACCGGCAGACATACGTACGCACACTATAGATTATGAGCAATGATTTCTCAATTGTACTATTGCTGAACAATGGGCATTTTATTGTGCCGTAAATATAGAACGTATATTTTTGTACACGACGACTTCAGGCCATTCAGATAGTTACATAAACCGTCTGCATTTAATTAAAAACTATGCACAAAACGTGCAGCAATATACATATATAATTTATATATTAGCTAGCATTGTCTCTTAACCCGAGCAAATGCGACTTGACGCGAGCAACGACAAACGAATGACCAGCCAAAACAAAGTGTCAACGAAAAACCGATGAAGAGACAGAGACAGAGACAGAGACATGGAGAGATAGATAAACACACAGAGAGAGAGGCATGTAGAGGGAAAATGAGTGAGACAATGTCAAATTTTTTTTTTTTATAAATTAATAAATGAATCGCGTCGTTGTATGACTTATTTAAAATAATTTATTCACCTGTTTGGGGCTCGCAATTTCCGTTGGTGTCACATAATTACCATACATTTGCTCAGCATTATTTTTCTTTTCATTCAAAGCTATTGCGTGATTCTCAACATTTGCTTCTAAATAGTTACTTTTTGGGTTATATAAGAGATGCGTGTGTCTGTGTGATTGTGAGTGTGTTTGTTTTCTTTTTGAATTCAAACAGAAATTTCACGTTGAGCTCACACATTTACACAGTTCGCCTCACTTTACTACCGCTTTTAGTTTCGATTAACTAATCACATATCGTGTGTGCATACGATGTTCAAACAACTATGCGACTGTGGTCTCCATCTCTCTCTCTCTCTCTCTCTCTCTCTCTCTCTCTCTCTCTTATTCAAGGTTAACAGAAAATAAAAAAATACATATGAATCGTTCCATATCAAAACATTTTTTTGATTCCAATCGATCGGGGTCTCGTCTCTGCATCGACATTCTCTACAACGCTGAATAAATTCCTTACTTAACGATGCCTATATATATTACGATACAACGGATTCAAGAGAATGCTTCACCTGAGACACACGGCAAGATATACGATTGTTTTGTTGTGTGTGTGCGCAAATGAACGATTGCATTTGACCAATGATGCTGATCTGTGTTTTAAAATGTTTGCAATAAAATCTGTGTTGGCTTTTGGCATATGCTTGCGATGTATTTGCTGTGCATGTTGATGACATTTTGCGCAAAGCTCAATACAAAAATCAAATGCATAAATTAATACGATGACCACCCAAATATAGTCGAACATAGAATGTCATCACGTTCGTCAGTAAGTAGAATGAATGGGATCAATACCCATCTGTTCGTCGAACAGGAAGAGTTGCGCATTGCGTTGTTGCGAATTTAGGTCATAAAACTTCGTTTCGATTTTGATCGATGCGATGACATGTCAAATGATGTAACTGATTGATATATTTGGTGTGCGCGGTTTTTTTCGGGTTGGGCATCATGGAACATAAGAATGCTCCCAATCTCATTGAAATCATGTCGCTGTTTTACTTGACTTTGTTGCGTTGTTTTGACCTTCATTCAAAAATAGATAAAATATTTCCGATGTACGAGCGAGGCTCTCGCTTCGTGACTGTAATAATAATGATCATAGTACGAGTTTTGTGGGATTTAACAAGTGATTAATTCATCGCCGATATAATCATGTTGATTGAAGCACAGCGGAAGTGGAAAAGTGGTTTTCGAAGATAAAGCGCTCTAGTCACAGGAAACTGTTGAAACATTCACAAAAATTATCAGACGACGGCTCAATGCACTAAGATGTTGTGTACAACAACAACAACAAGAAATAGTGAAGAAGAAAATTCAAAGCCACAAAAATTGCATCAAATATCGTTCGAATTTCGTGAATTTCGAACGGTTGCCAGTTGAGATGGTCAGAGTCCAGATAATGTTAGTAAACAAAGCGGTTAGGAATTATTGGCTTAAGCTTGCTACGCCTATTAAATGTGATGTGATCTAAAACCGAGTCGGAAAGGCGCGCAAATACAATGAACGGCCACTGAAACCCTACATATTCTCTTTGCCATAGCCAATATACGGGAGTAAAGCGTACAGCAGAAACAGAAAAAAATATATATACAAACAACCGAAATAAAGACGGAATGAAAGAAAGAAAAAATGAAAACAAAAAAAAACAGTGGAACAACGTGAATCGAAAACGTATGTAGAGCACGAAAAGTGAGATACAACACAGTTGAACTTGCATCACAAACAAGCGTAAGTGCAGATAAATGCCATGTGAACATCGAGCTGTTGCGTTCGTTCATATTTCAATATGATTATCGAGTACAATTGCTTTAGCGTCGATTAATACATGCAAAAATGAGTGGTTTGCTAATGTTTCGTTTTGCGTAAACAGTTTTGTGTCATTTCATCGTCGTTGTGATCGTCGTCGGCATAAATTGTATCGAAAGAGAGCAAAGGAGCGAGCGCTCTCGAATACACCAACTCGTGCTTGTCAAACCACATGGGCGCTGTACTATCGGAGCAATGTAACATGAGTCGCTTGTAAGTTCTCCTCGGTTCAATGTTTGTTTCATGGCAAACGAAACTGAATGTCGAAACGCGACAGCAACGTATCTGTTGTGTGTGTGTGTTTTTTTCTCTTTTCTATTCAATATTTGTGCTCAATTCAATGTGGTTTATGTTTCGTCGCGCGTTGCGCGTTCGTGTCACTTTATCTTTCTCTCTCACACTGTGTGCTTGGTGCTCTCTGTGGCTTTCTGTTCGTCTGGCGCTATTGCCTTATGCAATTTGGTGCTCTCTCTCTCTATCTCTGTTGTACAGCAGCATGTTTCCAACGAAACTTGGGCATGCGGCATGTGTATTTTCTGTGTTGACTGAGAGAGTAAGCGAGCGGCCGATAGTCAATGGGAACGAGCAGCGCTTCGGTGTGTGCGTTGTGTTTTGTATTGGTGAGAAACGTTGCATCGCTTTACACTTAATCGTGTAGCACACATTATGGACTCGCTAGCGTATGTAGTCATACGAGGTTGAGCGTAACGTGCGCTCAGACCAACAAACTGATTCACTTAAACATTCATTTCGCTTGTAGACTGCGAACACGAATGAACACAAAATTCATTTGAAACCCCACAAAAAGTTTATTTTTCGAATAAGTTTTTCATTTTCGTACCATTCGGCGTCTAAACAATTCAAATTGGCTTTTTTCTGTTTAAGATTTAATTTATAAACAGAAAAGTTTGTTTTTACTTCGTGTCATTGTTGTTTGGTTGCCTTGTTTTTGTTCCACAATCAGATTGTGTGTTTCATTCGGCATTTTTGTTTGCTTTTGAAGTGGTCGGCCTGTGTACACCTTTTGTGCGAAAACAAAAAAAAAGGAAATTGTGTGGACATGTGTGTATGAAGCCAGTACCATACAATCTGAGTGTATAAATATTCCATAATTATTGTTAAACGAAAGTGTCATCGTTCGACTTGCAAACGAACGATTCCGAGCCAGACGCTTCGACGATTGCGTGTGAAATTCCCCCCGCGCGCGCCAACGTTTAGAACATTTTTTTAACGTAACAAAGCCATTCAATTGAAGGCAAAGTGTGTATACTTTTCTTTTTCTGTTTTGGGACAGAGAAATAAAGCCGAAGTTTTATTTCCGAACCTTATGGAAAATCGAGAGTGAACTGTGTACTGTGATGACTTCACCCGATGATTAGAACGACGATTGAAACGAAAGAAAAGGAGAGTGAACAGCAGAAATAAAGAAAAAGAATGAACACACGGTGCTGCCTGTGTGAATTTCGTTAGATTTTGTAAATATTACGTGTGACTAAGCCATACGTTACATAAGCATGTTATGTATTTATATCTAGAATGAACGATAGAAGCAAAGTGTACAGCCATGTGGTTCATGTTTTAATTCCATTCTAGTTGGTTGGAAACCGTGTATTGTAACAAAACGCCGCCGATGGAAACGAATCAATGAAATCACAGAAATTAAGTGCGAAACGACAACGACTTTTTCACCAACAGATAAAAAGAACTGACGGCAGCGGTGACAGAGTGAATCGTACATTCATGCAAGAGAAACACACGACAGAAGAAAAAAAACAGTATGCGAGAGAGAGAGAATAGCAGCAGCAAACATCAACTTGTGAATAAAACAAGCAAGAGAATTTAAAAAAAAGTCGGCTTTCGCTCTCAAAAGCAGAGAAAAAAACTCAGAAATATTGTTGTGTGTCGCATCGTACCCGCCGTACACACAGTTCTATACTCGGTGTACACTCTCATGAAACAAATCAAGAACAGTGCTTACGTGATACGGAGCTTAAACGAAGACGAATGAGAAAATATCGCGACATTTATGTAATATAATAATTTTTTTTTCTCGATTCGATTCGGTTTTCGAGCAAAGAAAATAAAAAGAAGAAGAAGAAGAAGTGAGAAAAAGAGCGTCACACACATACACACAACGCACAAAATAAAATAAAGAAACGAAAAAGAAGAAGAAAAAACGACAATAAAGAGACGGCAACGCGATACGCAACGCAATCACGTAATGAATGATTGAACAACAGTTCGTTCAGTTTTCCTGTGAACATTGAAAATGCACTTAAACGAGCAGTGAGTAACTTGGCGTCAGAATCAATTGTAAACAAATGAGAAGATTCTCAAAGCCTCGACTGTACAAGGAACATCGTCGGGCCTTAGCATTTTATTTCAACCGCGAATTCGATCCGAAACCTTCAAAACCACGCTTGGACGCGTAATCTTTTGAGAGGTAGAGCGAAATCAAACGAGCGAACACAGTGAATAGACTTCTCATGAAAATAATATCGGTATTTTTCAAAGAACCGAAAAAGAGGCGTTTTTGCCAGACATTGTGTAAATAATATTTGACAACGGCTACGGTGAATTCTAATCAGTGCAACGCCGAAATTCGGAGCAAGAACGGTTTTTTTTTCTTTCTAACTAAAAATCCATGTGAACGATTATATAAAACAAAACATTACTACATCGAAAAAAAAAATAGTCCGAAATTCAGAAGCTTAAAGTGTTAATATAGTTGGGCACCGTTTTAGCGTTGGTCACCAACACAAGCCGACACATACACAACAACAAAAAGCAGAAGAAGAAGAGAAAAAAAAACCGAAACATATACAACGAAGAAGCCATGTGTGTTATATGAATACTTGTAATTGAATGTATAAATCCGTGGAATAAACCGAACCGTATACTGTGTTTATGTAACGAATTTGGAACAAGCAACTTGTTGTATTGAGAACAACGACAGTTACAGTAACATCCAAACAGTGAAAAGACTAAATCCAAATTTGTATCGTACGACGACCAAAAACTATAGAAAAAGAAGAAGAAAAAAAGTTCTGACTTTTTGGAAGTTATAAACCATGTGTTATTTTTGTTGATTTATTCTGTTGGGGTATTCTTGGTGTGCATTGAATCGTTTGGAATCACATACGTGTGTGCCGAGTGAATGAGACAGAGCACATCGCACCTGCGATAGCAGTTCTTGTTTACAACGTTATTTTTTCTGTTGTTTTTCTATCTTCAAACGTTGACTCAGTGTGACGAAATATAAAATAAATGGCGAACAAATCGGCTGATTGAACCGTGTTTTTTTTCTGTGTCGGTTGCTGTTCTGAGTCGAGAAAAACAACAACGACGGAGAAGAAAGGAAAAAAAAATCTGAAAATTCTATATAGTGTTGCTTTTGCCATGAGAATCAGTTGTGGTGGTGTTAGTGCTTGTGTGGACGCGCGATTTTGAATTTTCTCGCTCTCTTGTAGTTGGGCACAGCCAACGTGAATGGTTACACAATCATCTGATATTTATGTAATGTTTAAGCGGGTTTAGTGTTGAACAGAGAGAAAGAGAGAAAGAATATATAGTAGTGTTGCTGAAGCCAAGTGATGATGATGATGAAACCGCATTGAATTTAAATTTTAAACTCGACTAACTGTGTGTTCTCGTCGTAACTTTTCCAGTTCTATATTATGATTGAGTGCAAGTCTCTTTTATACATGCTACGGACCTTAAACTCATGAACTCGCCGAAGATGTTTTATTCAGATGTTTGAATATCTGCAGAACGTAAACTGATTCCCGTTCAAGGTGGTGTTATTTTTTTTGCGTGCGTGTGTGTTACAGTGTTTGTATTTTGTTTGAATCACGACGACAACGGGTTTTTTTCTTCTCGCTAAATCAAATGTATGATCAAACAAATAAACGAAATAATAAAAGAAGACGGAAGAAAAGGAACTAAATAACAAAAAGAACTACTGTATACTCACTCGTATATATACAAAAAAACGTAGACAACGTAAACAAATTTGTGGATCAATTTGATCGAGAAAAAAATGAAATTTGCGTCATCTTTTGTTTATTTTTGCAATGCTCAATTGGGGTAGAATTAAAAGAGGACGAGAGATAGATCATTCCACACATATCGAATGAAGGTTTTGGTGCGACGCAATTTCTTCAAAAATAAAAGACGGAATTCATCGAACTGACACAATTTTGGTGTGTGTACGTTAAATAAAGATAGAAAGAGAAGCGAGTGAGCGAGTGAGAACAATCGAGTTGTCCATAGACGAATTTTGTGGCGTGATTTGAAACAAACTAAAATATGGCCAATAACATTCATGAATTGGCCCAAGAAGCATTCGATAGCGGAAACTATCAACTAGCATTGGAACTGTTTGGGCACATTCTTCATTTCTCCGATAAATATGCGGCATCAGCAAAATCGTTGATCTCAATTGATACGTACATCGGGTATGGTGATTCGTTAGCACGTTGCGGTCACATTCGCGAAAGTTTTAATGTGTTTGCATTCATCTGTAGTAAGCTCGGTTATTCGGTGCCAGTTCATAAGTTGAAGCACTTGACAATCGGCCTTTTGGAGAGTGTTACCTCATCATCGGTATCGCCCGAAGCGCGTCAGCGCCAATTATCCGAAACGCAGCTGCCACAAAAACATCTGCTGCATAAGCAATATCAACAGCAGCAACAGCAACAGCAACAGCAACAGCAGCAACCGTTACCATTAGCTCCCCTTACGCAAAGTGATTCTAGTGAATGTGCCAAATTTGTATTACATGAGTGCTCGCAACAAAGAACGAAATACATAAGTCCGTATGCGAGCAACAACAAAAACCACAGGGACATTGGAATGAAACCAATCGAAAATGAAACCAATATGAATCGAACTCAATTTGTGTACGATCATGAATCGGCTCAGGAATATGACAAATGCGATTGCAAAAAGTCGCATGCAATGGGCCCAATGTGCTCCACTGATCCAACAATGGCCAATATTGTGAAACTGGATGGTGGCAAAGAGGCCAAACGACGAATTAATAGTGGTAGTGCTGTTGGTAGTGGCGGCGGCGGTGGTGGTAGTGGTGGTGAAATGAATAACGGAAATGGCTACTGCAATTCCGAGTGTTCGATGTTTTTAGACAATAGATGTAATAGTAAAACAGTTAGCAATGTACACGAAACGGATCCTTTATTATGTCCAATGTGTGCACATGTGTTAGTCTACCCGGTAACAATGAACTGTGGACACACCTTTTGCCGCGACTGTGTTCACAACGAAACACAATGTCAAGTCTGCGATAAACGGTTTCTCGTGTACGGCGATGCTTTGAAACAAGATGTACTAATTACCCGTTTGGTGGAAAAGTGGTGGATGCCGCAAATACAAGCCGAAACGGTAAATGAAACAACACAAACGTTGCTCCGACAAAATGCACTGGACGAGGCGCTGAAATCATGCAATGACGCTCTTGAGAAATGTAAGTACGATCGTAATTCGACAAGCAAAACGTAAAATAAAAAAAAAAATAATAAAAACATTTGTTCACCAAACAACCAATCAAGCCATGCTACATATTTATGTAAATATAAATGTGAAACTGTTGTATTTTGGGGGGCCACAAGAGAGAAAATGAAACCACAAACAACCGGAAATCGGTTCCGTTGGTCTCTCGCAAAACCTCAAACTCAATTAACACCGTGGATCTTTTTATAGAAATATGATCATGGAGGTGGGCTTTGTTTGTGTACAATAACACAATTGTCATGCAACCAAAATAGACATGTAAATTGGCCTAGGTTCCAAGTTCATACTCGTTTGACTGTCCCCATTCCGGGCTGCAACAGCACCGTTTTTTTTCCTTCTCCGTCAAAACCATATTCTGCTGGGCTGACAATTTTATTTTTATCTTTGCTTTTATTTACATGCCAAGAAACTAACTGGCCAAAACGGTAAATTTTTAGGGCCTCACATTTATGTTTGAAATTTCCAATTGCATAACACAACTGAATATGCATCGAAAAGAAAAGAAAAACAGTTCATGCCCAATTAGTTTGTAGTTAATGTGCAGTAGCAGGACTAAATTTGGAATCTTACAACAATGACATTTTACTAATCGTATGCTAATATTTGCATTGTCAAAACTGATTTGCCATGTGGAATGGTTCGCATAGAAAATAATGCACTGAACTGGCAATCCAATTGCATAAGTGCACGACACAGAAGGGAAAAAAAATTAAAATGAAATGTGAATTGCACACGTGAATAAAATAGTAAGGAGAAGAAGACAGGCGAGAGGCGCGAAGGTGACTGGAGCGTGGGGAGGTCAACAAAGGGAATTGTGAATTATTATTTTTGGGCCACACAAAATGCATACAGTTATACCGTCCAAACGGGAAAAGTCCATGGAAAAATTAAATTTCTGTCCGAAATTGGCTCATTTAAATGCCACTTAATACTTCCTTCAATGATGCATTTTCAAATGATATTTGCACGTAATTATTATGCAGTACATACAAATGGGTCGAAGTTGAAAGTGGACACAAATGAATGCCAATGATGAACAACAGCAAAACACACAACCACTCGATAACTGGCGCAAATTTTGCATATTCATCCCGCGCGCGAAACACTCGGGCCACATGTAACAAGCCATTATGAAAAACAAATATTTTCATAAAACACACACACACACACACGCTCAAACCATTTTCACTTGACATAATTGAATCGGTAAATTGAAATACACTTAAAAATAAGCAACAATGAGAAATATAATAATAATATCACGCTTTGATATCAGTTTGTGCAATCTAAGCGCATAATGTGTGTATGTGTATGTATTCAAATCTAATTAACATCGAGTATTTCATTGTTCCAAAAATTATAAACGATTTAGTTGTGGGCAATTATATAATAAAAAAAAATATTTCTGTCTATCGTGGTGTCGACTCTCGGGTTGCGTTATTTTGTCTTTCGGCACATAACTCATGCACAAATACAATAACAACGGCGGCAATAGGCAACGCGGCAACGGTAACGGCAGCAGCACAGCAGACGAAAGAAGCAAAAAAAAATAATCACAATAATGTAAATATCTGATCTCGTCATCACTTAGAGGTATATGGTATGAACGGTATACATATAGTTGTCGATCGGCTTGTGGCACTTCAATGAGAAAAAAATGGTGTATTACACAATTTGCCTGAATCTCATTGTATAATATTGATCATTTAATTCGTATGTATTGCAAAAAAGACGAAAAACAAAATTGTGCCGAAATCGAATCAAATGCAAGTTCATTGTGTGTTGATTTGCGGTGTTGGTACCACAACTTCAAAATGTTTGACTTGATTTTACGTGACTTTGCTTTCATCATCATTTTATATACATTTTTTGTGTGTATTTGACTTATTTGATGGTCTTTTTGTGTGTGTGCGCGCGCGATTGCGCTCGCATTCGCCTTCATTGCGTTGCGCTGGCTGTGCTCAACATTATTTTCCTCCTTTTTCGATTCGCACATCACTTGAAGATTGGGTGCCATAGCTGTATGTAAAATGACACATTGCATAATTATTATTTTTTGCTGTGGCGTGTTTTTTTCCTTTTCTTTCTCAAAAGTCAACGTAATGATGGACACGATCTGCGTTGGCCTACCGTTCTGTGTTGGACGTTTGATCGATAGTTTCTCTATCTCCCCTTAATAAATTATGTTTTCGATACGTTTTTTTCTATTTCATTTCTAAAGTAGTTCGCAATCGGCGCAATGTGCTAATGACAATTCGACGTAGAATTAAAATCACAGCATGTGTATACATCTTAATGACTTTATTTTTAATTTTAAATTATTTTTTCTTCTATGACGTTGATTGTTGTTTCGTACCGATTTTTTTCTTATCTTTTCTTCTTTTGTGCATACCATTTGTGCCAGGCAGAGATTAATATACACAAACCAATGCAACAACACATGCACACACGTGTGTATGCACATCAATATATCTTTTATAACTGATTCAGTAAAATGTCTTTTATCATGCTCTATCTCATTTTTAGTTCAGGTTTTAATGCATTTTAACTGCATTAGTATATGAGGCAGAAGTACGATTCAATCGAATGTTAATGGTTAAAAGGTGTGCAATCGAAACAGTCGTAAACAATTGTTTATTCGATGCTCTTATGCCTACAAAACATAAACTGAGTCGCCTCCAAAGCAGCAAAAGTTCAAAGGAAATACAGATTCTACAACAAAATAAAATGCATACACAAACACACGTGGTCGCATACTCACATACACACTCACCAGCTCACGAAACACAACGTGTGTTCAGAGTTGTTGGTAAAATTAATTTCATGCCGCTTTCGTCATTTGAAAATAATAAAAAAAAACAAATTCAGCGAGAAGTGTGCAAGGGCTTTGCTGCAATGTATCATTCCTTCGTAGATTATACGTACACCTAGGGGAATTTATCATTCAAAAATTCATAAATTCCGGTGTGTTTTGAGCTATATTCAGAATATCCACTCATATTCACAGATATTCAGTCTTTCTTATTTGACAGTTCAGGTGTTCTCATCAGCCGCCATCTTGAAATTTTTATTCAAAATATTCACAAAATTCACAACATTCACATATAATCGAAATTTTGACGATGATTCAATGAGAAAAATATCCACAATATTCACAAATATTCACATTTCTCAAGCCTTGAATGAAACCCCTAGACGTACACAAAAAGAACATTTATTTCGTTTTTTTTTATTTCTTTTTACGACAGTAAGTGTTTCGACATGAACGCTATAAATCAAACATTGCACAGTGCCGCAGTCGATGTCGTAGTTGCGGTCGTCATCGTCATTGCTGTTCATGTTCTTTTTGTACACAGAATTCTAACTGTATTCGCGAAGCGGTGAAACGCAACGCGTTTTTTTTTTATTTATTTCGTATATTGCTCAAATCATTCGTTCGTAACTCTTTTGCAATTTTAGTTTCGATACTACTAAGTATGTTAATGCATTTTGGAAAAGGGATTTTCTCTCTCGCTTGCTCGCACACACTTCTCCGTCTCTGCAACTTTTATTTTCGATTTGTTTTTTAATTCTCTCTCTTCAGTTTGTAGTTTATTGCAAACATATGAGGTTTTAGTTGTATGTCCGCATTTTCCGTATGCTATACTGTGCGCGTATGATTTTATTCTTCGACTTGCCTAGTGCCTCATGCCTTCTGTTGGTTGGCTGGCGTAATTGCGGCTCAATCTTTTGCAACAATTTTATGCAAATCTGTTGTCATTACTGTGTACGACTCTTTTTTTTCTCTCACAAAAAATAGTTATTGTTTTATGCCACTTATTGATCTTTATGCCATTTTAAATGCACCGCATACATACACACAGCGGGATAAATTGCATTCAGGCACGATCAACAGCCGAAAACAAAACAAAAACTAGCACTGGATCGGTATTGATTGCATGTTTTTGTTCCCACATGTACATTAATACAACAGAGAAAAAAAAACAACAGTTTCAGTTAGGCCACTAATCAGAAAAAAAAAGTTAGCGGCTATTGCAATTGATCTAGAATTTTAACGATTGGCCGCCGTTAGAATAATTATCAGATATGCCGACATGCCATTTCCTCCATTTGTGCATTTGTTTTTCATTCTCTTTCTCTGTCTCTTTTTCGCTACTTTTAGACAGTCGATATTGACTCAATGACACACATTCACCACGTCATGGCTAAAATTATCAATGAAGTCACAAAATTGTGCTTCTCTTTGAGTTTTCCGCATAAATGTTCCGATTTATTAACCAGCACATTTAATGTTGTCAAGGCTTTTTCAAGCCTTGATTTTTCTTCCTAAATTCAAATGACAGAGAGAAAAAAAAACGTTCATTTTTTACGCCTCTTTTCATTCAACATCATATATCAAGCACGGCCAATCTTTCAATATAAAGCCATTCACTGTCACGCACATACATTCATGTACAATGCACGTAATGTCGCCTGTCCACCTCAAATATATGTCTAAATCTATATATATGCTATACAACGAATAACGAATTAAGCTGGTTGTGTGTTGGTCGCTCATTCGCCTCACGAAATAATTTAATTTAAATAACGAAACGATTGAATAATTACCCGATTTGGGGGGGTGATGAAATGATATTAAACGATGACAAAAAAAACACGCATATATCGAGACTTCAAAGCAAACCAAAATATAGACGTGTTGACATTTTATACTTGGATTTAATTTTCAAATTGGCAAATGCTGATATCAACATCTCAGATACAATGTATCACAATTTAACTTTGAATAATCGAAACAAATCAAGAATTAAGAGAAGTCTCCCAAAATTTTTTCATTTGAAAATTAAATGAATTGCTGTAGACGGGAAATAAAGCGGAAAATAATTTCATTGTCGATTGGTATTCGGACGTATTTTTCATTGGATTGGCTCAAATCAAAGTTTTGCATCTTCAAATATTACGAGCAAACAACGGCATACGACGGCCTGATCTTGGGGCTTCGATCATTTTCGAATGAAATAAAACAAAGCACGAGAGACAAAAAGAAAAAAGACAAAGAGCAACTCTAAATGCTTACAACATGATCTTTCTTTGGTATTACGAAAAAAAATTCGAGGCAGCCGTGTGTTAACAGCCAACTGTGGCTAAATTAACGGTAGCATATTTGATTTAGTTGCTGTTGATGTATTTTTGCGAATTTCACGTAAGTTTAAACTGCTACGGCTGTTGTTTCGTCGTTGCTTTTGCTGCTGCTGCTGTGATCGCTCCAAAGGCGCGCCGCTAACACACAAATATCATGACTAAATGTTTCTGCTGAAATAAAAAAAAAGAGTGAGATTGCTGGTTTGGTGTACCATTGCGAGCCCGTCTTTCGGATTCATTGCAACTAGCACTGTGAAACCATTTGGATTGCTCTATTCCGTAAACCCGATTATAACGCAATAATATAGTACACAACATGAGCATAATGAACAGTCTTGAATTTTAAATGAGCATGCTCTCTATCCCACTCTCTCACATTCACACAGAGCCGGTCGCTTTTCTTTTCGGTGCATTAGTCAGAATTTCAATGTTTACATTTTGGCTTATAAATGGTTTCAAAATTGAAATATATGATACAAGGGAAAAAAAATTATCGAAAAAAACAACAGAAAAACATAAGTAGAAACAAAAAAATCGAAATGATTAATTTGAAAAGTCGTTCTGTTGAAATTTCGCTTTTGGAATCGATCGAAAAATCCGTTGCAAAACAGAGTTTTTGGTAAAGAGCACAGTGTACAAATTGAAACGAAACAAAAAATCAAACAGACATTGTATGAGTGAGTGTGAATAATGTATGGAAACTGCTGAAAAGCCCAAATTCTACTTTGGCAAAAGAGAAAAAGGTGCACACGCGTTGGCCAAATAAAAATTGGCTTGCGATATGATTGAATGCAATGTATTCACGTGGTTCACCAAAGCAATGCACGTATTTTAAGAATTATTTATGGATAAATCACATTGCAGCTCGGCAAACCATTGACGAACGAAAACAAGAGAGAGAAAGAGAAAAAAAATGTGCTGAGAGACAGAGATCATTTCATAATTGTATTTCGTGATTTTTGTAAGCATACATATATCTTTGCTTTTTCGTTTATTCGTTCGGTCGATATGTTTTCTTTCTATATGAGATAACGGTGGCTGAGACTGATTCAATCTTTTGTGTGTGTCTTTTGTTATGAAACCGAAAATCGGTTAACGAATTCGAGAACTAGATGGAAGGGATTCAATTAAGTAATAGTTGATGGTTGCGCGCATATCACATATGCTCAATTTCAGTTTTGTTTCTCTCTCCGCACACATTTCGAGTATATCTTGAGTCATGCGGTTAAACACCAACACGCGACTAAAAGCCAAGTATCTAGCGCCTATCTATAAATATCCATTTCGATTCTCCATGAAGTCAGTAACCCGTGTCAAATACACACAACGCAATAAAATATCGAGATTTCCCGAGATTGAGAGAACGCCTTAAGAATATGGCACATTTAATTGCGATGGAACTACAAATTGAGAGTCAAGAGAGGCAAAGATGCTTGATAACATTGTGTGTGTGTGTGTGTGTGTGTGTGTGTGCGAATCCAATTTGCATAAGAATCGCTTGCAGCCAAAATAGGCTTCGTCTCATATCTGGTGAGTGATTGCTTTCACCCGACATCCATTGTTTTTGTAACGCCTTCAATTTCTTTTTCTTCGTTTTTTTTTCTGCCTATCTCTTTTCGCTTCGTATTTCATTGAAACGCTTATCTCGTAAATCGTCATTTATATATGCCACTTTGGCACTTATTCCATCACATAAGATGCACCACTTAAGTGACTACAAAATAGTATATAAATCTAAAGTATTTTTGTTTTGCTGTTGTTGTCGTTGCTGCTGCTGCTGTTGCAAAAAAAATACAAACAATGCGGGAATGAAGCACACAACAAAGAAATTCCATAACATCAATGCGATTTGAGTATGCGTTTAACAATATCTTTCGTTGTCTAATTGCACATTTATACAGAAATGACATTTTAAGCCGCAGATAAACGATTATGTCATGAATATTCAGTCGGTCGCTGTTTCGCTGCTCTCCAAATGCTGCCACCGCCGTCACCGCTGCTGCCGCTGTTGGCTGCATGTCGTGCGCGCGATTGGTGCAATCGTCAAATAAAAATAAAATAAAAAATATATGGTGTAACCTAATGTGATGCAGTTTTAGCAGCAGTGCACATTTGCTGCACCACGGTTTCATATTATTTATGCTGAATTGGTTAATGTTTGATTTGTGCATCATCTAGCATGGTGTGCAGCATATGGGCGCCAAATCATAAATTGATGTTTAAACCGATTCCGATGGTCTTGCATATCGACAATTGCATGTATACTGTATATGTATATGCACAATGAGCATTGCTCAAATTATGCGGAAAAGAGAGAAAGGAAATCGACAGACATATGGCGAGCGCTTCAAAAAAAGGCGAAAAACAGGCGCATACACCGACTAAATGTATGCGTTTACCTTCATGCATGCGATCATCGGCGCAACATTGGCACACTGAATTGTGTGACGGCAAATTCTTTCGTTTTCGTTCCTGATCTCTATTCCGTTTCACTTTCAAACCGAGCCATCAGAGAACGAATGCCAGACAAACGCATCGGCAAAAAAAGGGAATTACGACGGGGCAACATGCTAACGATGCAACAGACAGTTTAATCTAAAAAATCCCCAAATAGATTTTAATTGAAGTAATGCTTTTGTTAAGTATGTTATGGCGAAATAGAGAGATCGAGAGAAAGTGTGCGTGCGTGTGTGCGCGAAAAAAACGAGAAAGCGAAAGAGGTTCGTCTGCGCCAAAATAGCATTCTGTAGCATTCAATTATCATTTTCGGTGTCGGTTGTTATATGCTATTTGATGTTGAAGTTAATGCATTGCCATCAACAAGTGCCTTGCCACTCAAAATTGAAATAGCATTTAGTTCTTTTTTTAATTTTATGTTCTAATAACATTGTCTAATCACGGTACGTAACCGAGAATCATTGAAATATGCCAACAACAACGACAACGGCGATATGGCGACTATGGCTACGGCTACGGCAGTGACGGCAAATAAGCGAACGACATCAATCATCATCGTCAATGATTATTTGACAATGGCATTCGTTGTTGTTGTTGTCGTTGAAAAGCAATTTCTTATTGAAAACAAAACTGCAATGAGTGTCGAGTGCTGTTCACTTTCACTTGATGCCCTTGAATTTTCGCTTCGCTACGTTCCAGATACACGACGAAACCGTTGACTCTCATATCAATTAATAACATTTTATTCGACTTATTTGCTGAAGATTCATCGGAAACTCTCATAATGCCATGTTTCATTGAGCATTTAAATTGGTTTGTTATTGTGCAGTGGAAATTGAGCACGGTTCAATTGATAGCGACATTTTCATGGAAAGAATTGATAAAATAAATTAAAATAGAACGAAGCTGATGAGACAAACATACCGAATATAATCGTAAAACAATAAATATTGCTAAGCTCCAAAAAAACAAACAGCATTTGCTTTTGTGTGATATAGTATTTACTGTAAAAGCCCGCAGGTATGCATGGCAAGATTATATATGTAGTACACTCATCGAGCGACACATCAAAATTACTCGCTGATATGATACTGACATGATTTCATCGTTGCCGTTAGCTATGTTGTTGTTGTTGTTGTCGTCGCGGGTTTATTTTTATTTATGTGTGTCTTTTCTATCACTTCTACTTGTCCCCCTGACTCTATGCAAAAGTAAAAATAAGCTCTGACTCCCTCTTCCTCTTTCTCTGTCTCGCTCACTTCTAATCGCCAATCGTTTCAATGACAATGACAATGACAGCACACTAGTACCTCATTCACTCTCTCTCTCTTGCGCACGGCGACAACAACATATTTTGACAAACGACGATTTTGTTATTACTACCGGGAGAAAGTAAGAAGACATAACATTAAAGCTGAGAATATTCAATGCACCGTGATAAATGGACAACTAATACCGTTGACTCGAATGTTAAAAATAGACGACGACGACGACGACGCGGTTGTTGCTGCTTTTAAAGTCGAATGTCTATTGGACAAACATATGACGACAAACGACGACGACGACGAAGACGATGATGATGATACTGTGTTGTATTGCTGTAAGGTTTCGTTGCCACTTAAATAATACGCATTCATTTCCACAAAAAAACATGGTATATTTTCATGGTATCTGAATTCTCGCGCGTTCGCCCTGTCTTACTCGCTCTCGGTGTGCTCCGCAATACATCAAATACATTTCGCCTGAATTGCGCCTCATTTCGAGTGTTGTTATTATGAAATATCGCGCAATGGCTTCTCCATTTTACGTTATTTTGCACATCGAAATTCCTGCCAAGCATCGATGCATGCACATTTGCACATTGTAAACCATTTCGGTTGACGCGGTGAATAAACTCTTAACCGTGCAATGTCACACAGTCATTAATCAGGGCAATTGTATGTGTGCGTGCGTGTTTTCTTTTGCTTTAAATCATGTTGATCTGATGACTTGCAAGTATTCAAATGTTTTTATTATTTGACGAAAAGAAATTTGAATCGCAAAATGAAATTCTATAGCAAGTACAATCATTTAACACTTATTTTGCTTTGAATATTTTCAGGTCCAAAAAATTACAATGGTCTCTTATTGCGTGCTGAAGTGTTATATCGATTGGGACATTTCCGAAGCTCATTGGCTGATGCTGAGAATGCGATTAAATGTCGACCAACTTCGTACAATGTGAGTATGACGTCACATAAGCAAACAGAGATTGCGCTCACACGAAAATTGGCACTTTTTTTGGCTTCAGGCATAGATTGATTTAAATAACCGAGATAAAACCATAAACTAAAATTATTATTTACAGGCATACCTATATCGGGCATTGACTTTTGCAGCATTAGGCTTAACTGATGAAGCCATCATATCGTACTGTTTGTCGATTCATTTTAATCGGACTTTGACGGCTCTCTCAAAATCAAATCGATTGGAAGTGGCAAAGGTATGTACATATATGTATCGAACAAACCACCCGAACCAACAGTTTTTTTGTTGTTGTTATTTCGTATTTTCTTTTGCTAATTTTTTGCTTGCAATTGCTCTTGTTCCCACCACAATTTCCACACAGTTGCTGCAAAAGTTTCTGATGAATTGCAATTTACCAACGAAATCATCGTCAGTGCATGAATATTTGAATCGATGCCATTTGCGTACGTTAAAGCATTTCCCTCAATTGTACAACGATAAGTGCTTTCAATCAGTGGATGCATTGGAATACGACGATGATTGTCTCGGCGATTTCAATGGTTCGGGCGAGAAGGTGAAGGGCAGCATGCAAACGAAATTCCGTCATTCGGAGCGAGAAAATTACTGTTATCCATATAAAAAGTCGTTAAAAATTTTGAAAGCCTCTAAGCGATTTCGACGAAAGCATTACAACACCGAGAATGGCGAAAAATTGCAGGAAATCGTTTATCTAAATCAATTGGCCAACACAATGTTCACAAATGAATCCCATGTTGTTAGCCCCACTGGCGTATCAAATATGGACAAGCGCATTTCAAAGCTTTTGGATCAAATACAATATGAAATTTTCAAAGCCAAACGTAAGTGAAACGGCCACATACACAGTACATTACACACATTTTCGGCATGAATGAGTAAACATTGTTAGCAATTTTTTTTTTGATCCTATTTTAAAACATATTGTTGTTGTTGTTGTTTCGTTTTAACAGAAGCTCCGACTATGTTGCTCGATGTACAGCCATCGCTAATAGATTTATCCGATTTTGATTGTGTACTGTGCTATCGGACACTGTGGAAGCCGGTGGTAACACCCTGCGGTCATACGTATTGCATGGTAAGTTGGAAATAAAAAACATATCGAATGATTTCAAATGAACCTTGCTGTGTACGTGAGTTGATGATACGTATTCAGGGCTACGATTGATCGTGCACGTAATAATAAAATACGTATATAAATAGCATGGTGTGAACGTGATTTAGAACAGGAACGAACTGCTCCGCATTCACCTTATGTAAACAATTTGAGTGAAATGTGCTCGCTTTTTGTTAGGTTATTCATTCGTATTTTTTTTTCTTCTTTTTTTTTTAACTTTTTGTCCTGTTAATTTTATATCAGGTATGCCTGGATCGATGTTTAGACTATTCGTCGTGCTGTCCATTATGCAAGACATCGTTAGTGGAAGACTATGCCGTTAATCGCAATAATAGCTCAATTCGTAGTAGTACATCACCTTCAGGGACCAATTATAGTTTAGCATCTTATGCGTCTTCGAAAAAGACCGTAACACGTTTTATCGAGTGCGCGATGCAACGGTTCATCCCGTTGACCTATCGCAAGCGTCAATTGCAGGAAATCGAAAGAGAACCATCGGTGCCGGTTTTCATATGCACAACCGCCTATCCAAATGTACCGTGCCCATTGTATGTGTATGAGCCACGGCATCGTCTAATGATCCGGCGTGTCATTGAAAGTGGCCAACGACAGTTTGGCATCGTACAACCGCATGCCAATGGTGGCTATTCCGATTTTGGCACCATTTTAAATATCCAAGACTGTGTGCTGCTCGGCAACGGATGCTCCATTCTCAGCACGATCGGTTACAAACGGTTCCGTGTGATTGAACGCAATGAAAAAGATGGCTACGACACTGCCAAAGTCGAATACATTTGTGACGAAGCAATTAGCGAAGAACGTTTAGACGTTGTCAAATTGATTAACGAGACGATTTACAAAAAGGCCATCGATTGGTACAACAGTTTACCTTCACACATTCACACCGAAATCCATAAAAGTTTCGGTTCAATGCCAAGAAATGAAAAGAATTTGGAATCCATCAGCGATGGTCCATCGTGGGCTTGGTACATCATAGCGCTGTTGCCACTCAATCAAAACCTCAAGGTGAGTCCATATAGTTTGGACTTTTATTCTTCTTCTTTTAGATTTGTGCATAAATAGAATATAATAACCATTTTTTCTTCCATTTTGGCATTCAGGTGGAGATTTTGGCAACGACCGATCTGGAAAAGCGGTTACGAGCTATCGATAAAACATTAGAATTCGTTGCCGCTCAACAGAGACGATCCGTATGCGTTGTATCGTGTGAAGGATTAACCACTTGCCAAACGGTGGATTGTTGTATGCGTGCTACCCCATCATCAAATCAGCTAAATGATGGACTACAATCGAATGCCACGCAAAGCCAAGTTACTGATTTTATATTATAACAAAATGATAAACCAAATCAAGACGTTTATGCACCGACATCGTTCGATCCATCGTATCCGATGCCGAACACACACTTAATCGATATTTCATGGGCACTACACAGTTTAAATGAGCTCCGTTGGTGATTTTCAATTTGGCTGTCGCATCGATCGAAATCGGCCTCGAAAATAATTCCGTAACAATGACGGAAATAACACGTCATCAACAACAACAAAAAAACTCTTTCGATCGAAATAAGAAATTTCCTTAGCGCACGGAGAACGGACAATCATTGAACCAATTTCAACATAATTCACACTTTTTTCGCACACAATAATACCAACATCACGAATATAAACAATTTCGAAATTTAAAATTTAAAACTGATATCACATTCGATAAGCATTAAATCAATCAAAAAAAAACAAACTATATTATATATTCAGATCGCAACAATTAATCCTTTTATAAGTGATGCATTTCTTATACATGTGAAAAACAGAATAATATGTAAATTTTGTGTTTGATGTGTCTCACATGGGATATTTCCAGAAAAAAAAAAACAAAAATCAATTAAAAAGAAGAAAAACAAACTAGGACACATTGCTCTCCAACATTTGTCACGGTTTCAAAAAGCAGCATGTGAATTTATCAAATGGCCGAAAGTCGAGTGGCTCATCAAATGAACCCTCTCGTGGCTTGCGGTGCAGAAGAAGATTTTTTCGGAAAAGGCAATTAATACTGATGAAACTTAACCTAAGACAATCATTCCAATCCTTAGCCCTTCAGAAGAGAGAAAAAAAACAAGATTTTTTCGTTTGTTCAATTGAAAGCCTTTTCAACCGAAGCATATTACGTAAACCAACTCGGGAAATTCACAAGGCGTCATTATTTCTATTGATTGTGAAAAGCATTATTTTTATATGGAAAAAAAAAATGTCGCTCCGAATATCTTATCGTTTCTGTTGGCCAAGCAAAAAAATGGATTTTTCAATTTCAGGCCAATTTGAAGGGTCTTTATCAAATCGAATGGATTTTTGTTCTCAAGCCATCAGTAACGTGTCGACTGATGAATGAATCAATTTCACAGTTTCTTTATCACCCCACTTAAATCAAATACGGAGTCTAAATATTTGAATCTACCCGTTTTTTTCTTTCTCATTTAAACTAAAATTAAATAAATCCAATGTAGTTGAAAACAACAAATTTCCACTTTTATCTCTCCATCAGTCAAAACACAATTCTTCCGTTCGTCACTTGACTCGAAATTTGAATGTTAACAAAATGAAAAAAAGGAGAAAAAAAAAACGAAAAAATGAAGCAACACACAGAACCAGAATAATAATAAAAACAAAACAGAAAAAAAATGATCATATACACCTCGGAACTATTTAGGACCTATTTAGCTGGTTACATAAAATGTCTCTGTTAAATAAGTGAAATATATACCGTAGACCATTTGTAAGCTGTAGCTAAACTCCTCACACAGTAATTATACAATTTAGCCGATAATGGAAAAAGAGAAAAAAAGAAAACACAAAACGTAGAACGTTACTAGTTTAATTTAATTGTATAATAATTGAATGTGATACAAAATAGCAAGCAAAAGAAAAAAAAAAATACCACAAATTTATTTCAAACATATTTTAAATTTGAAGAGTGCAGGAATTTCCCCATGGCATGAAGTTGACATCAAACGCACGCTCGGCTAAACGTTCATCCAACGTAGGCGGTGTGTGTCTGTGTTTTTCCTCACCTTTCCGTTGGGCATTTCTCACATGCTCTCATTTCAAAATAGAGATGCTTCGTGCGAATGAAAAACATTTTCAAGTCAGTCGAATAAAGTGAAAAATTGATCGTCAACTTCACAATAGGGGGTTCCAATATTTGATTTTGCAAAATGCACTTGCAAAATTAGTCTTCGATGTAATTTTAAGCAACAGAAACAAAACAGAAAAAAAAAACAATTATAAAATATCTTTTTTTACAGATTCTAATTGAAATGGTAGAAAAGTAGATAGTCATGTAGACACACGGTGTACTCATTTGTCATTTTATATCTGTGTATCAAACAAAAGGTATTTGGAATAATATTGGCAAATGCGCGAGTTAACATTGACATCATTTTTTTTTGTTTCTATGTGTTATTGGTTGAAAATGATGAAAATAATCGCTGTTTATGATCTGCATGCTTCTATATCGGATCTCAAAGTACATTATATCAAAAGAAGAGGGAAAAAAAGCTCAACTGTTTCCAATATGGTTGAGCTTGAATTGTTTTTCTTTGTTGTTAATTCATCCATTTTATAAGGAAAGGACAAAAAAAAATAAACAGAAACTTGAACTATTTTTTTGTCAAAGTATTTCGAGAACGGAAAACAAGAAAAAACAAACTAATGAAGAAAAAGAAAAGAAACATTGTTCCAAAATACCTCTAATACAAATGCTTCTTCAAGTTTCCAAGTTTATCTTAATTCGACTCTGATGAATCAATTTATCGGTTGAAGCAAACCAAGTTATCTGTTTTTTTTTTGTTTTTGCATTTTAATTATATTTATTACCTGTTGCGGTGAAGCTATAAATCGTAAAGATATTACTGTTATTTATATAAGATTTCTCCATTATCTCCCTTAATATCACATTTTTATAAGAGTTTGAATTTTCCTAATAAAAAACCACATCGGTATACAATAAAATAAAAAAAAAACATCGGCACATTTTATTTATTGGCCACGACTGAAATGGAAGAATTTAATAATGGGTAAGGAAATTATGAAAAAAAAAAGAAACGCAAAAGAAAGGTTTTTATTTCGTGTTGAAAAGTAAAAAAAAAAAATTAAATTGAAACAATTTTGAATTATTTTTTAAAAATTTGTTCGAAATGTCAAAAAAATACATTCACTCACCCAATTCATTCTCCTGAAATTAGGAAAATTGGTGTAGTTGAAAGAAAAGAAAAACTAGAAAAAATGGTCTGTTTTAATCGCGTTTATTTTCGAAATTAAAATGTTGTCGCAAATATCGTTCTTCTTGTTGATGTTTTTGTTATGCTTCAATTATCTTATCAGTTCAGTAAAGTCTTCATTCTCTGTTAAAAATTCGGTATACCATAAATTGATAGTTTCCATATGATCGGTGTTATGAACGCTTGATCAAGTGCGATTGGCTATATAGATTCGAAATAATATTAATACTTGTGTTTCCTTTTCTATGCATTGCTATATTCAAATCATATTTTCCTCTATTTTGTGCATTTTCTTATAATTGAACAAAATTACGACAAATTCTCGCAAAACAAAAATCTATCGATTGGAACAAGAAACCGTTTTCAAAATATGATGTACTAATCTTGAGGTTGACTTGAAAAGTCTCTGGGCTAATTTAAAACAGATGAGACCGAAAAAGAATGTTTTTCGAAAGATATCAATCGATATCATACATTTTTGAACCTTTAATTGCAAACTCAAGGTGTGTGTGTGTGTGTGTGTGTGTGTGTGTGTATGTGTGACAAAATACGATTTCTAAAGCAATGAAACCTTGGCGATGAAAATAAAAGCGTGAAGCCTCAAAAATAGTGACCTTCCACAAGTTGTTCTCTCTTTCTTTCTTTCTCTTGATAACGTTGGTGCTGTGGTTGTTCAATGCTCACGAAAAAAAACGCTAGTATTTCAATTATATGGTTTGGTTTGGTTTTAAGAAAAACCTTAAAGCGGCTATTGTGACAAATAAAAGTATATTGAAAATGACAGACACAAATCGATAGTTGCTTTCAGTTTTGAAGAACAGATGAATGCCATAGACAGATAAAGTCAGGGTCTTTTCTATTTGGTTTGTAATTTGCTGTCCATTATTCACTGGCTGATGTGAATTTGATTGAGCCAATTGTGCTGGTTATGCTGGCTGGGGTGGCCGGAGAAATGCTGGCCGGATTTGCATCATCAAAAGTGGTTAAAGCCGTTGCGGTATGGTAATCCTGTGAGCTATGCACTTGTGGCAACTGTTCGACTGATTTTACACTATGCGGTGTATTTGGTACTTCCGGGCAAATTATTTGATTCCCTGGCTGTTCCATGTATGGTTGCTGTGCATTGATTACCGTTGAATTGTCCATTAATCGTAGAACAGTTCGATGATTGCCCATTTTTTCCATTTGATGCGGATGTGCTCGGATCGGATGACGATTTACATATTGTGTATCCATTTGCGTTGAACTCACCACTGGTAACATTCCACGCTGGGCCAGGTGTAATTGCTCTGAGACCAATTGCAATTCCTCTTGTTGCTTGATTATGAGCTGCTGTAGCTCTTCATGTTTGCGCTGTAATTGATTCTGAATGTGAGATTGTGTAGAGGTGATAATGGCATCGCGATGCAAAATCTCGGGTATGGGCTGCTGCATCGGTAAATTCACTGGAGATTGGTGGCCTAACGGAAGCAATGTCTTCTCTGAAATTACCATACAATCCTGGGTTAACCTTAATACATCATCAATCGCTTGAACTGACTCTGTAATACCATATTGGGGCGGCAAATATCCGACGGAAGGTGAATTATAGCATATATTTCCCATTTGATTGCCGTATGGCTCTTGTGCAATTTCACGGTGCTGCTTTCTTTGGGACGCAGATGGATACTCCAGTTTAACCATCGACGACTGGCTTCGATTCCCCGATGGAGGCGATGATCGATCACTTTTTCGCAATTTCTGCTATCGAAGGAAAGATAAAACAAAAATTAGACCGTTTCATAGCAACCATACCATTCAGAAATTGTATGACATTCGTGTATGTTCTCACTTTATCAGTAATTGTTGATGCATTACTGCTTTGGTTTGACATTGAATATTTGCTTGATGCCTTTGAAGATGAGGAGAAACAAGGAGATGACCGCGTTCGAGATATTGATGTTTCCGTTACGCTGGTTGCACAATTTCGGCTATCACTTTTTGTGTTTGGTGTGGGGGACGATGTTGAATACCTAAACGAGTCGAAATTAAGGTATTTTTTTCCATCTGATTCGATTTTAAACCCAATTTTAACTCATACTTACCTACTCCGAACTGATGAATTGCTCGTTCTAGTGGTTTTATCACCGGTTTTTCTATCAAATGGTTTCATTTGGCCCAATTTACTACTGTCACTTCTATTATCTGCACAGTTGAAATTTGAAATAAGTAAATTATTTAATCGTTTCATTTTGGCATAAAATTGCAAATGAATTCTCGATTTTCCTTACCAGACTCCTTTCGTTCGTTGCTAAATTGCTTCAGAACTTCTGCGTTACTAACAACTCGGTGTGTGCAAACGATGAACTCTGGTTTCGAGTTCCATTGATGATATGATATGTAAAAACGAGTTTGTAGCCAAATCCATTGCTGACTTTTGGTCAAGAATCGATAATAGCCCGAATTCCCTTCGCCCTTTCCCATCACTTGAAGAAAATGCATTATTTTTAATGTTTGATTGGTTCCAAGTTTTGTTTTCTTTTCGCTCAAAAACCACTATTGAATAGCGTAAATAGTATACGTACCTGTTTCATGGCATGACACGATATTATCCAAGTCATCAAAATGATTGTAATCATATCCGGATGTGCCGAGTACTTCGAAGGGTAAGTAGCCAATGATAGGGGTTGCACGATGGTCCAAAAATATGAATTTCCACTCAAGACTGTGCCTTGAAGTGAACTCACTTTTTTCCGAATCCACCACAGTCATTTCACGAACTAATTGGGGCGTTTGTGTTCGCCCAATTCCCACAAACAATAATCTAAATGAAATATTTATTCTTTTTAGTCTTCATATCAATCAACATGAGAGTGTTTCGAATGTACTTTAAATCATTGTCAGTTGTAGCTCGGCTGCTGCTTGTCGATGGTAACAGTTCATCAATTTCGACATCGTTCCCTGTGCACAAGAAATACAATGTCCATTTAATTGACATAATCATACCTCGAGCATGCTTTTGTATCTTTGCCAAAAATGGTTCTGTACTAAGCTGAAAAAACTTAGCTAACAATTTAAAATACATTGCGCCCCGCAAGCCATCTAGATGGCGCCACAAGAAAATTTGGTTCTTATACGAGGTGTATGCTCAAGATATGGACATAATTTAAGCCATATTTTAGAATCTAACTGTCTAACTCACGGAAATATCCAATGAATTGTACGGATTCGTAAGCTTCTTCATCACGATACTCTAGTCCACCCTTTTTCATGTGACAAACAAAACTAACTTGATTTTCTGTAAATGAAAGGAAAAACACATGCCATTTGAATTGCTAATTGATTTGTTCGTAATTTGAGTAAAATTCGTTATGACATTTTACCAATTGTGAGATCATTTTTTATTGGATCGATTACAGTCACCGGATTTGATAATAGATTGTGTATCTCCTGCTGCTCATTGTCGTAAATTAAATCATAGACGCTAGCATTGAGTAGATCGCTCTTTGTGTTGATATCATGAAGAAAACAAATATTATGGAAATATTAGACTTTAGGCTTTTTGACAGTAGTCCGAATTTTGTTAAAAATTTTGTTTTTTTCATGTGAATTCATTGAAATTGCGGATTGCTATTGATTTCGATAAATTCAATCAATTTTACCGGTAAATGGCCCAAGAGTGATGTTATGCTTTCGGATGCATAGTAAATATTGCCATCTGAAGAGAAAACTATGATGAATCCATCCAAAGCCTCTAGCATTAAATGTGTAAACTCTTCGTTTGATAAAAATGATGGTTTCCAGTTTTCATGAATCTCATGTATGCGAGATCTCATCGTCATATCTATGCATAGATTTGATTTTGTCCGATGAGTTTTGAGATAAATAAAAAAAATTGTGTTTAATTTAGAAACAAGGTGAAGTTTTGAATAAAAAACTTAAATTTTACGAGTACATTGAAACGAAATAGGGTGAAAGATGCGCTCACCATTGTGTTGTCGTAAGAAAGCGATGGTTGCTTTCAAAACGGTTGATTTGTCTAATTTTCGATTGGCCGATGACACCATCGAATTGAGCTCATTGATCAGGATATTAAATTGATCCCGGCGTTTCTTTTCGCTAAGATTTCTTGACTTCCTATAGATCCATAAATAAAAAATGCTTTTAGTGTTTCATCGTCTTTGCTGCCGCTTTCGATTTTAAATCCATTGCATAATATTTGCTCAATCGAATTTGTGAGCTCGTCTAGGAAATCGCTAGCATTTAATCAAACACATTTTAAACGATGTACAAACCTCTTAGCATCATCTCGTTCGTTGTCATCATCCATTTTACCGTTTTTGTTTGTATATTCAAAATACGTTGCCTTGTTTGTTTTAAACACCCTTTTATGTACATACACATACACTGCCGGAAATCCACTTCAAAATGTTTCAGTTAAATCGTTCCACTTTTTTTCCACTTTAGAATTATTATTGATTCATAAGAACTATTTCAAGTTTAATTAGTGTTCATTGTGACTTGTTGCTTACATAAGCGCACCGCTATTTTTCCCTACATAAATCCGCATAAATGTGTAACGAATTGAAGGACACTCTCTGTGACACGTCATTTTACACCGAATGATTTCCAAAGATTTTCATACACTTTTCGCGCTGTTCAGTCACGTTCAATCGACTTTTACATAATCAAACACACACACGCACAGGAGAAAAAAAATAATAACAAGAATGGGAAAGAAAGGAAGATATTTTATGAATTCGATCAACATTTTCAATTGGATACCGAGATTGGTTCTTAGTGTTTCTGTCAAATCACATGAGTTTAACATACACTTAATTCGATATGTGAATTGTTGCGTTTCATTGGGAGGGTAACAAATCTCATTTTTGCCCATTAAATCCAAAGAACCCGATTTTGGATTTAAAAAAAAAGTGAAAAATTGATTTTGAATCCGTACTAATTATTTTTGATTGATTGAATTCCTCTTCCACGCCGAACTGTTGCGAGCACCATCACATCAATTACCTGAACAATATTGGCAATACACATACAGATTGATTTGATGTAGAGAGTTCATGTTCACAATCAACGGTAAAACGACGACAACGGTGACGGTAGAGAGGGTGGTGGGATGGGTTGGTTGGTTGGTTGGTTTGAAGTTCATTTTTCCGATAAACATACACATAAATCACAGGTACATATTCGAATGCCAACTGTTGCGAATGGCAACAAAAATTTTCTCTCGACTCACTTACTCACTCACTTTGTGACACTGGCGCTGGGTGAGTGTATTGTTACACGAACTACAAGGGAATCTGATACACACAGAAAATATGCTAACGTTGTTATATAAATCAAGTTTTTCCGCTGAATGTTTCTGTGAAAATGATGGAATTTATCAATTGGATGCTGATGCGACAGCAAAATCCATCACACGAACACATACACACATGATTCACTTGAATATATTTGCATTGTATATTTAATTCGAAAATTCGTCTGTTTCCATTTTGATCTACATTTTTATAAATCTAATCGTATGCGACAGTCATCGATAAAACTGTACATTTCACATATATGAATTTTGTTGTGTACTTGTTGCTCACAACGCTCGCTTCCCAAGCAATGTAATTGGACAAATCCTTGACGAAACCACATCAAATGAAAATTCCATGCAAACACACACACACACACACACACACACACACACACATATGGATCGACGGGAAAACAACATATTAAATAATCCAATTCAATGGTATAGAATTATGGCCGTTAATTCTGTTTCAAAGTCTTCAAATTTTCCATTAAAATGAGCCGTCGAGCCGGTTCGATTTCGATTCAAAGTATCCCATTTTGATATGTATTTGTTTATCAAACGCATCAATTACCCACTTGTTGACAGCATTTTTTTTACGAACGGAAAAAATGCACAACGACCACAGTTTGTCGCTTCCGTAACACACCATATTTTTCTTTCGTCACTGAGTTTAATGATCACGTTTTGAAAATGGAAAATTTTCTATTTGATTGAATCATCTAATTGTTTTCATTTTATCTTTTCACCTAGTTCAATCCGAAAAAAAAACACTACTATTCAAATTATGCGAAAAGAAATCCCGTTACAATTATTTAAATTGGCTTTGAAGAGAGGAAAAAAAATAATGATGAAATTCAAACCAAATTGTCACACAAGAAACGTTGTTTCGCGTTGTTCTGGCCAATTTCGTATGCGATTATCAGCAGAAATATTACTGCTGGTCGAGCGTATTGAACTTGGTCGCTGCGCTAGGGAACGTTTGCCATTCGTTTTTTCGACAGGTAATTACATGTACCAAAACCAATACGGACGTATGTTGTTGTGAATGGCAACGGGGAAAAACACACGGCAAGAGCAAATCTTTGTGTGGCGTTGTGTATGCGCGCCTTAGTTGTGTGCATGACAAGTAAATACAATAAAAACTCATATAAATCAAATTCGCCCTCTCGAACTCGAACAAAGATACGATATTGTATCGTGGCAATATGGAAATATGTATATATACGTACATATCGCACCACTTATGATGACGAAAACGAGGGAAGACTTATATTCTTTTGTGTGTTTTTCACTGTATTATATTTCGAGTCGGTCGTTTCAAATTCAAAGTGATTACAGCGCACCTGAAATGGACATTTAAGTGAAATCATACAAAAGCGTACAGTTTTTCGGTCGTGCTGTGTGTGTTTTCTCTGTCTCTCTTTCTCTCTCCCATTCTCTCATCCTCCTCCGCCCCCCCTCCCACACGGCACAATGGGCGGAGAAGGAAGTTTTGGAAACGAAAGGGAGCATCGTTTTAATAAGTGATATTCTTGCCGCATGGCTGCTGTTAATAATGCACAGCACATTTGTTTACAGCTTGTTTATTGTGCGGCGCGCTATTGATCACCGTTTGTAATTCAAAGGAAATAAGTTGGTATTTACGTAATTAAGCCAGGCGCAAGCGTGTACCAACATGAATCTTAAAATACACAATTTTCATTTACACTAATTTTTATTCCTTCTCTCTCACTCACTGTCCCACAAACGCCACAAATTGTTTGCATTCTGTATTCAATTGCCTACTTTCATTGTTATACACAAAGCATTTTTCAAACTGAATAGCTCGAGGAATCTTGAGAAATTGTCGATTCGATTGAATTGAATTATAGAAAACGCGTGAGCGAAGTGATTTTTCGAGTTCATCGATCAAATCGAGCATTTTCTTTCGATTGTTCATGAAACAAACAAACCGGAGAAAATTCTTTCCAGAGACTGAACGAACGTGATTGAATCAAATGGACTCTTTAATAGTTCTAGAGGAAACGGAAACCATTATCAATTATCACCTATTTCGTAGAACAAAATTATGTCATTTACACTATTGTCACTTTTGATTTGGTGTTACGCAGAATTATTTGCTACAAAACAGGCTGGTCTCCCTTGAGATTTGGTCAAAATTTATTACAAATGACGAAATCAGTTTTAAAGCAATTTTTCTCTTTACACTCACACTTTTTGCAATCATTAACGCATATTCTTTATCGTCTCTAAAAAAAAATATCCTCAACGGAAAAGTACCGTCCTAAATCACCTTTGACATTTATCTCACGCGCGCGCGCTATCTGAAAATGTTCTGCAGTACATTTGCCAACCGTTGCGAATGCCGGCTCATATCGAAATGTTGAACAGTTAACTTTGTGTGTTATCCACGAGTCTCCTACGGAATTGAATTTAAAACCGTCACTTTTTCGTGAGCTACGTGTTGCATTTTCTCCATTCAAGCTGACACACGGTGTAATGTGTACACGATCCATATGGTGACCTAAGCACTTATTCGACATATGCGTGATAGTTTAATTGCATTCTTCACTTGAAACTCAATCGGAGGTGTAAAATTGGCATTAAATTCTCTTGCGCATAGACTGAATCGGGCAATTCATTACAAAATATGCAATTAAAACACAAACAGACAGAAAAATCCTATACACCTGTTGAGCATAAGGTGATTCGAATCATTTGATTACATTTCAATTGTTTTTTCCATTTCAAATGATACGTTTGAATACAAAGTAATTTCGTTGTGAATGAATTTTGTTGATTCAGCACCGTGATTCTCGGTAAGAATGGAATTTTTTTCCTTGAATTCAGAATTGTACACGCATCGTAGCGAAGTAGTATAAATTCAGGCTATTTTATGGCATACGAATGGAATACTTGAAAAATTGTAATTACTCAAAGCAAAATTAGTCTGCTTCAAAAATGAAATTTCTCGAATGATTTTATCGGTTCGATTTCTGAATGGTTTCTCTGTTGACGGAGAAGACTTCTGAGGGAGAGAGGAAAATGGGTGTGTGTGTGTGTGTGTGTGTAATCAATGTGTTGATTGACGATGATTGCTAAATTATTATCGTTGTGCGCTCGATTTGTGTGATGCCCAAGTCATTGAACTACGATCGAAACTAGCTTGAAATTGGCGGTGAGCGATTCTGATGTTTTGAAGTCGTTGCATTCATTGCAATTTACAAAAATGATTTGAACTTGTGTTTTTTATTGGTGTTATTCTTGAATCTGGTTTTCAACCGAATAAAATTAGAATACATTTGAATTGTGTCCACGTGCGCACAAATCAAACACGAACTCGCACAAAGATAGTATTGTGTTTACAACGAAGTCGTTGTTGTTTTGTAGAATATCCCGTCAATCTGCTTCCAAAATAAGTGAATTCAAAAAATGCACATAAATCAATTGGCCTACTTTGTACAGCTCTCCTCGAATATTGATGTGCATTTTATACCATTTGCAAATATTGATGTGGCAAACAGTCATAATTATTTTCTCTCACATTCAAATTTTCACTTTTGTGCTGTATCGTAATTTTGAACATTTCAGTGAGTTAAAGATGCGAAGAGGATTCCAATTTTTATCATTTACCATTTTTCTCTTCCGGCCTTTTTTTTTGTTTTGCTTCTTCATTCATTCAAAAAAAAATCAGCCGCAGCAGCAAATGTCTGACGTGAGTTCTGTGCCCGCGTAATTGATGAAGCGTAAAGGTTCAAGTAAGAGGCCAATGAATTGATATTACTCTGATTGAAATGTTGTTATTTTTTTTCGGCATTTTCAAATCATTATATTATGTTAATTACAGTTTTACGATGTGTGCTATCAATGGCAATGCGATTGAAAAATTGTAAATGACGGAAATGTTTATTTTGCAACGCAATTAATTGAATCAAGTTGAGAATAAGTTATCGCTTCATTTCTTTGATCTCCACCGATTCATTCTAATGGGATGCCGTTGATTCTATCTCCCATCATATTCAATGCACAAAAAGGCTGCTTGATTTAGTAAATAAAAACATTGACGCTTGCAAGATGACGATGGTGCTGTTGTTGCTTTTACATTGCCTATGAAATCGTATCTCGGACAAAATAAAATTGTTTGTAATACAATCACAGGGAACTCGGATGACACGATTCGGCTCAGATTATTCTTCAACCGATTGAATCGAAAAATGACGAGAGCTTTTGAAGCACACATTCAACTTCATATTCAGTTCAATAACTGCTCAGCCACACATATTGTGTATCGAAATCGTTGAAGAAAATAAAAAAGCGCTGTTGTGATGATGGAAAATAACACTCCACTACTCTACTGATGATCGCCTATCCGTACAAAATAAACAATTTTAGTTGTTTTTGTTGCCAGCATTTCATTAAAACCAGTTCCATTTTATTGTTATTTGCATTCGTATCGCTAAATTATTTGATAATTTTGCTTTTCGATTTCGTTTTTATTTCTGTTGACCGGTTCGATGTGTGTCCAGTACACTTCAGCTTATAAACACCATATCAATGGACAGTCGCATGTTAGTTTATTCCATGAGACCGATTGAAACGGTTGAGGTAGTAGAGAGAGTGTGTGTGTTTTTTGAACTTACTGTGTCGAACTGAAATCTGGGCTGAATTTTAACCCGAACAAGTTTGTCGTAAAGGATTATTTCGCAGAATATATTTTTTTAGAATTGAACAAGAAATAGAAAAAAAAACTGTTGTGAAAAGAAAACCGAAATCATGTATCATAACAATGAAAAAATTGACGAGGTAAGTGAAGAAAACAAACAATTATTACGATTTTTTTTTATTGAACAATTGCGATAGATATATGAATGGGTTTTTCTCTAAAGTGTTAATAATTATATTTAATTGGAATTATGTGCTCTCATTTTCTCTGAATTGCTTCTGAATTGAAATTGATTGATATCTAAATGTATAATTATTATTCGTTAAATATCTTGAAATTATTTCATTGAGCAAAATGTAACGAAATTCCTCCGTTATACCACGACGATGACGATGAAGAAAAAATAGGAGTGAGAGAAAAAAAGATCACCAGCTTGTCGCGTCTAATAAATGCAAAACACAAAATGAATTTGGCCAAAGATTTTACAATCCTATTATTTAATGGAATCAAGCCCCATTTTCCATCGCTTTTGTTCCATCTCAGATGCTGTTTATCCCAACGGAATGGACGGATCTCAGTAAATTCATTTACCAATTTCATCAGCCCGAAAATCGTGTGTGATTTATGGACCAAGTCATAGGCACCGAGACATTTCATCACATCTATTTTATGCGCATATATTTTGAATATTTCTCGTTTTTACATAATATTCACCATCTCCTACCACTTCAAATCGCCGCAAATATTTAATGACAAAACGACAGCATAGAGTATCGAACCGGTTTCTATTCGTTGACGACGACTTAAACCAAAGAGAAAAAATACGTTGCATGATTTTGGTCTAACCAGATTACATGGTTTTTTTTTCTCTTTCGTATTGGACCGGCTGATGAAATACTTCTGCAGAATTTCAGAATTTACTTCAATTTTTTGCGCCAAATGAAAATGGAAATTTCCATTTAGTTGAGGTATTCCATGGAAACCATGAACAGCGGTGGGGATACTGGAGAAAAATTGCTTGCTTGATTGATTGCATTTCGCTATTGAATTTCTATTTGTTGCAATGCAAAACTCTATTTTTGAAGTTAAATGAAGGTGATTATTATTAGGTTCTATGCAGTTGTCGCACTAAAACTGTTGTCATTTGCACAGTGGATTGTGAACCGTACGAAATTCATACGCGATTCATTTCGTCGAATAGATAAACCACAAATCATATGTTTTGTTCAATAAATGAACGAAAATAACCCAGAAACATATGATTGAAACCGTTTGATATAAAAACAACAAACAAAATTTTGTAACATAGAGTGAAAATTGAAACAGTGTATTTTACAGCCGACGCTCAAGGAAGGTGGATCTTACATTATGGAGAATACGCAATCAAGCGATGCAAAGAATACGTGTATCATTTTCTCATTGAAAAATGATTGTGGTTCTGGTGCACTGGCCAAATCATTGAAGATATTCAATGACAAAAATGTGAATTTGCTTCACATCGAATCACGTTCATCGCCCCGTAAGCCGGGCTACGAATTTTTGGTGGAGTGTGACAGCACGACAGGCAATTTGGGCGAAGCAATTGAAGAAATTAAATTGATCAGCATTTACTTCAGTGTCATTTCGCGGGATTATAAGGATAATACAACGGCCGTACCATGGTTCCCAAGTCGTATTCGTGAATTGGACCGATTTGCCAATCAAATTCTATCGTACGGAGCTGAACTTGACTCTGATCATCCCGGTTTCACCGATCTAAAATACCGCGAACGAAGGTCAGATGATTTCCAAAAATAACAATCGATTTGCATACAAATTTCATCTTGTATTCAAATTTTTATCTTTTACTTTCGTTTCTTCTAATTTTTCTCGTTTGGTTTTCGATAGAAAATACTTTGCTGATATTGCATTTAATTATAAACACGGTGAGAAGCTACCGTATGTAGAATATACGGAAGAAGAAACCAAAACTTGGGGAATTGTATTTAGAAATTTGACGAAATTGTACAAGACACACGCGTGCCGAGAACATAATCATGTTTTCCCGTTACTTATCGACAATTGCGCCTATCGCGAAGACAACATTCCACAATTGGAAGACGTTTCGAACTTCCTAAAAGGTTTGTTCATTTGTGCATTAGATTCACCTTTGATTTTGAGGTGATTTCAAAGTGACTTTCCTCTTTCAACGATTCAATGTGACAATCTCATTTCGCCAATAAAATATGGAAATGTATCTTGGATAGATTGTACCGGTTTTACACTGCGTCCAGTAGCCGGTTTGTTGTCATCTCGCGATTTCTTAGCCGGTCTTGCATTCCGTGTATTCCATTCAACTCAATACATTCGTCATCCGAGTAGACCATTATACACACCAGAGCCAGATGTTTGCCACGAACTATTGGGCCATGCCCCACTCTTTGCCGATCCAGCATTTGCACAATTTTCACAGGAAATTGGATTGGCTTCATTGGGAGCACCTGACGATTACATTGAACGCTTGGCCACGGTAAATACCCATTTTTTCTTTGTAGAAATTCGATGTTGAAATTCGAAATGGTTATGAATTTCATCTCTTTTCTTCCATTTTCAGTGCTTCTGGTTCACTGTTGAGTATGGATTGTGTCGTCAAGATGGAGAGATTAAGGCATATGGTGCCGGATTGCTGTCATCTTTCGGTGAATTAGAATATTGTTTGTCAGACAAGCCCGAACTAAGAGAGTTCGAACCAAGCAAAACTGGCGAACAGAAGTATCCAATCACCGAGTATCAACCCGTTTACTTCGTTTCAGATAGTTTCGAGTGTGCCAAAGAAAAAATGATGTATGCACTTTGATCTTTATTTCTTCTTTTTTTTTTCATTTCTTCATGAGTCGAACCCCATTTTTAATTTATACCTATTATTCACTTTTAGTAAATACGCAAATACCATCCCAAGACCGTTTGGTGTCCGCTACAATCCATACACGCAAAGTATCGAAGTGCTCGATTCGAAGCCACAAATCGAGAATTTGATGCACAACCTAAGCATGGAGTTCCAAGTGCTTCATAATGCATTCAAAGTGCTTGCACCCAGAAAATAATTAAATTTTGTCTCCACAAGGGGAGAGACACCAACGATAGTTTCACTAATTTATTCTATTGTTTCCTAATGTATGCTATTTTTGCTAGTTTCCCTCAATAAAAGTGCTATTTTTTGCTAATATTTCCTATGTGCAACGTGACAGTTTGACAGTTCACGTACAAGTAACAATCATCAAGTTATTGTTGTATGCTTGGAAAGAAAGCAAAAAAAATTATATTTTGGCAATTTTTCTAATGTTATTTCATAGAAAAGAACAAATTGTTCCATTTAATTTCATAAAATAACTCGAAAACTTTGTTTTAAACGGTTAAAAACAGTAAATAACAAATCGCTATTTCTTCAATAATATTGCTATTTTTTGCTATTTTCCTCTAGTATTTATATGAACTTCAAAAAAATAGCTAATGGTGTCTCTCCCCATGTGTCTCCACAAAATTCAAGAAGTCCTTATCGAATAATAAAGTACGAATACATCGTTGATGATCATAATATGTACGAAAGAAAGGTGGAAAAATTAACTACAGAGTTTAAATGTCCTCAAGCAAACACAATACATACCTTAATTGATTAACATACCTTTTACCAATTTTTAAATAACATTTTGATAAAAACCAAGCTAAACGTATACGAATTAACAAAACAAAATTGATATAATTTTCGAAAAAAAAAAAATATTTATTCAATTTATAATTGGATGCTCTTCAAACACGATACGACATATAAAAAGAGAATTTGATTCCACGTGCACAAAACTACTTTTTGTACATATTAAACACTCGATATATCATAGACGCAAAACAAATAGAAAAATCGATTTTGTTTTTAGAGGTAGTACATTGGTTTTTATGTATACGAACAATTTCTTTTTATGAATGACAATGAAATAAATTAGGAAACGCTCAAAATCCATTTTCTATTCCAGCATTTGGAAAAAGAGTAAAATCAATCATATTTTTTTTTATATTGCCTGCCACTTTCCCTATTCAAAAAAATATCCACACATTTACCAAAAGTTTCGATTGTATTCCGGTCGATTCCATGACGAATAGTATCGCAAGATGTTATAATCTGGAATAGTAATGTACACATTTGTATATTCTTTTCGAAAAGAAGGGAAAAATGCTCGATTTGGAGGGTATTGGTGGTACTTACTTGGCGAATAGGATTGTGGAAAAACTTGGCGACGTCTATGTGGATTGTATTGCAGTGGTTGACTCATGTGAACATTCTTAATCATACAACCAGCTGGTATCTGAATCTACTCGTCGACAACAGAGAAATGCGGAAGAGAAATATTTTAAAAATACTAACTACCGGAATTTCCATTCAAACGATAGCAATCAATTGGTAAATTCCACATGCGAGCTATTTTTGGGCAGTCATCAAATTGTTTAGCAGCAAACTAAAACTATTAAACTTTTTAGCAATATTTTTCGTCACACTTGTTTTTTTCATAAGGGTTCTTTTTTTCAACTCAATTATTGTCTTTTAAATTCATTGTCTATTCACTTTTCATAATACTTAAAATTATTCGGTTTATTTGATTTTTTGGGTTTGTCAAAAGCAGTAAATGCTATAAATAGCACAAACTTTCAAGCACAAGCAACTGATAACAGGCAGAAGCATTAGTCGACCGTCCAATGGTAGATATCAATGAAATTTTTTGGCAGAGTATTCTCCGAGCGTGTTACATGGATTTGATTCTGTACGGCATGCCTGAGATGATGGCGCTTTGGAAGCTTACGATAAAACACACGCACTCTACTTACGGGGAAGTTTGTGTCCAATTTCATTGCTGGTTTACCAGGGCACAGTAAATACGAGTCATGATTGTCTAAATGGTTAAATTGTGAACCACCATTGTATGGAGCGACGACTCGAGCAAGCACTGAAAAATATTAACGAATCAAATTATTGAATTCATTGGAATGAAAATGTGTAAAAATGTTGTAACAAACCTGCTGGACGAACGGCGATTGTAAATTGGCACGTTCCGTTTTGTTTTCGCACATCAGTTGCAATGTAAGTGATTCTGTGTTGGCCAACGCCGAATTTGGTTCCAGGCAAATGTGATTTGAAGATTTGCTTAAGCGGTTGGTTCGATTGGAACTGTGGTTCTCTCCAGAAAATACCACGTTTCAATTCGTGTGGCTGCAATTGAACGTCGAGTGTTTTTGGGCAATAGTGCACTTGTGGACCGGGAGCAGGGGCAAATGCAGTTTGAACGCCATTCGCTGATTTAACCGTGAGAACTGTTCGACACACTTCACTAATGCTGGCCGAGTGTGGGCTACGTGCTCTGAATGTAATCGTATGTACACCGGCTGCCAAATGAGCTTGCAAATTCTTTGCCCATGGTGGATTTGCATCGACATGAGTCGCCCAATTAACATTTGATTTTGGTTGCTCCAATTTTACGTAGATGGTTTTTTTGTTCTTCGGTAGCACAAGCGTTGTGTCGCGTGGACATTTGATGTATGGTCTCAAAATGTTTTGTGGACGACTTTTTACGGAAGCTCCTTGCGCAGATGTTGTTTGATGTGTTGAAATGGGGTTGTATTTTTCGGCCTCACTAAGATCAACATGACCTCTTAAGTGTGTTTCACCACCTTGAATTTGCGTCTTTGGTTTTGATTGTTGTTTTGGATGTGACTGAGGATGAGGTAGAGGCTGTGGTTGTGGTTGCGGCTGTGGTTGAGGCTGTGGTTGTGGTTGAGGCTGTGGCTGGGACTGAGTTTGGGAATGCTGGTTTGGTTGTTGGTACGGTCTTTGAACTTGTCTATGGGTTTGCATTGGTTGACAATGTAAATCCGTTCTCGACCATTGTCTATTTGGCAAACACTGTGTCACGCCGGAGCCGATGCTCTTGAATCCTGGCGGGCAGATCAAAGCGCAGCTTTGGCCTGGATAGGTTTTACCATTCAAACAGTTCTCATTCATTGTTCCTGGATGTTGAATCGAAAGCGGTGGACATGTCGATTCTGTTGAATAAAAGAAATAACCAAATTGTATCCAAAGAGCCGATATCGTAAATGTGAAATGAACTTACGAATACAGGTAACTTTTGTCATATCCCAAAAGCCTTCGGTTCCATTGCAGTATTTGAAAGATGGGCCCATCAAAGTGAAGCCTTCGTCACACCAAAAGCTACACTTCGTTCTGTAGAACAATTGAGACATGTGTCGAGAGCGTGTGCAACGCACATGACCATGCTCTGGTGCAGCGAGAGCCGAACAGGTATCTTTGATTTCTGTTCAAAAAAACAAAGAATATTCAATCGAATTAGCCGATGATCACAAGGGAAATGTAAAAAGACTGATCATTTACTCACCAATGCATGTCAGTTTATCATGATCCAATTTGTATCCTGTTGGGCAAATACAACGAAAACTTCCTAAGAAATTAATGCATTCAGAATTTGGCGAGCATCCACCATTGTCATAGACTTCACACTCATTTACATCCTCACAATTACCGGCGCCGTTCAATCGAAATCCTTTCGGGCAATCACATTTATACGATCCAATTGTGTTTATGCATTTGCTCTCACAGCCGTGATTCAGTAAGCATTCGTTAATATCAGAGCAGCTAAATTGTTTAAATGTTAATGATATCACTCTTTCCATACCAGAAAAATATGTCTCATTTTTCCCAAAATTATCACTTTAAAGTCATTTGCACTAAAATAAGTTCCAACTGTTCTACAACTAAACTGTTGATGATATTTCGTATTTTATTTAAAACATTTTTTTTTTCATTGAAAACACTAGATTTGAATCGGTAAGAATAATCTTGACCTGCCAAATTGAGTAAAAATAAATCAAAAATACGTTTTCCGATCAGCATCTCAGAATTTCGTATCTGCGGATATATTCGAGCATATCGACGACGCAAGTCACTGTATAAGTGGCGTGCGTTGATGTGCACAGCTACATCGACTACACGCAAACAGAGAGTTTTACACACAAATAGAGAGCGCAGTGTTTGTGTGTAGTCGATGTAGCTGTGCACATCAACGCACGCCACTTATACAGTGACTTGCGTCGTCGATATGCTCGGATATATCCGCAGATACAAAATGCTGAGATTCTGAGCCATCGGAAAACGTATGTTTGAAATAAATGTGAAACATAGAGTTTTTTTATATGGACTTTACAACAACAACTCCATTCAGGTTCATTTGGCAACCAACTCGGTGGCAAAAATTAAAAGCGTGTAAATCACGACTGTCTTGTATTGGAATAATTCGCTAGGGGGTAGGAACACAAGCGCTTGAGACGAATTCGTACGAATATTCGTGAATTCTTGTGATTGTGTATACGAGGCATTCGCAGCGCAGTGAGTTTACAACAACAATAACAAAGCCACGAACGCATGAATATATGCGAATACATACGAATGACACAACTTGTTCCTAGCCCCTAGATAGTTCGAGAGAAAAATAATTCTCTCACTCTTTCAACAATACGAATAACAACTTTCAACTTCTTCTTCTTAACAGTAAAATCGATGGCATAATTCTTCAAATTGAATAATTTCCTGTGAAGATAGAATAATTGCAATAGATGTTGAACTTTTTCTCAGTGTAAATATAACTTTAAAGTGGTTGTTTTGGCCAAAATGACATATTTTGCTAACATAAAATGGTTGAGTTAATACATCATGTAATTCAATTGTGATTATTTCAGCGAATCGTTCAATCTGCAGACGTTTAAGCAAATCAAGAGAATTGTTTTTGTTATCAGAAAAGCTATGTTTTTCTTCCGAAATGATGCAATGAAAAGGATGAACTTTGAAAATGTTAAAACTCGAAGATTGAATTGTTCGCTGTTCAATAATAATTCATTATTTTTCATTTAATTTTCATTGATTTCGATCAACGTTCAAACCTTCTGTTATCCGAAGTGCTCAATTCGAATCCCTTGTAGCAAAAGCATTGCGGCTTTCCATTCAATGGTTCACAGACATGTGCGCAGCCACCATTCTTCAATCCACACGGATCGGAGCTGATGCAACTCTTTTTATCATCAGCCAACACAAAACCTTCAATATCGCATTCACAATACGAACTTCCCTCGATATTCATACACTTTTGTTCACATCCACCATTACCAACGGCACACTCGTCAATGTCTTTGCATGTGGCTTGATCGTTGCCCAATTTGTAGCCAGTTGGGCAACGACAGCGGAAACTACCCTCAACATTGTCACAGAAATGCGAACAGACGCCAGCATTCACAGCGCACTCGTTCACGTCGATGCAAGTCGTTTGATCGGTACCCAATTCCATTCCATTTGGGCAAGCGCATTTAAATGATCCTGGTGTGTTAATGCATTCATGTGAACAATGTTTAGGCGCACTTTCATCGCATTCATTTTTATCAACGCATTGCTTTGTTTCAGACAGTTCATAGCCGCTGGGGCAGTCGCAATAGTACGAACCAGCTGTGTTAACACATTTCGAATCGTCAGCACAAGTGTTAGGCAAAGCACATTCATCGATATCAGTGCAAGATAAGTGATCTCTGCCCAGCTTATAGCCAGATCGACATTCACACTCATATGCTCCGGGTATGTTGACACAGTTTTGGTCACAGTCATGAATTGCATCCGCACATTCGTCTGTGTGAAAACGAAATGAAACGGAACAACATGAAGAATGAAACATGGAAAAATGAATGGGGTAAATGGTTGATTAATAATGTGTGATGATGATGATGATGATGAAATGATGAGGTGAGACGAAAAGAATTGGATTTAGTCAAGCACCATATCTCAACGCCACACCATACCATTCAATGGAAATGATGAATGAATGAATGCATGATTTAAATTCGCTCACCTATGTCATGACATGTATGTTTGTCTGCTTTCAGTTCAAAACCGATTTCACATGCACACGAATATGTGCCAAGCAAATTAATACAAATATTCGAGCAATTGCCATTGTTTTCAATGCATTCGTCTACGTCCAAACAAGCATATTTATCGGAAGCAAGCTGATAGCCCGCACGGCATTTACACACATGAGTTCCATTGAGATTTTCACAATGATGCGCACAACCACCATTATTTAACAAACACTCATTTTGATCGATACACTCTTTTCCCACTTCGTCCAGTTCGAAGCCAACGGGACACGAACAAGTGATCACACCCTTTTTATGGTTACACTTATGCGAACAGCCGCCGTTATTTACTTCGCATTCATTTAAATATTCACACGTGTGATCATCGTTAACTAAAAACTGACCTTCGGGACATGTACACTGATAGCTGCCCTGCAAATTGATGCACGTATCCGAGCAATTGCCATTATTGGTTTCACATTCATCTATAAAAAAAAAATTGCGATAGAATTTTAAGTTGTTTGAATGCGATTTCAAAACTGAAACTAATTTAAATAATACTTGTATCAAAGCAGTGATGTTGATCAGCGGAGAGGCTGTAGCCGGGGCGGCAACGGCAGAAATATGCTCCTTGCGTGTTTGTGCATTCGTGATCGCAGTTTCCATTGTTTACTTCACACTCATTTCGGTCAACGCAGTTGCCGGTTGCTTCATCTTCCTCGTATCCTTCAAAACACTTGCATTCAAAAGCGCCTTCGGTGTTTGAACATTGCTGCGGACAACCGCCGTTATTTTGCAAACATTCATTAAGATCGCGGCAAGTTTTTCCATCGTCAAATGTTTCGTATCCGGGGAAACATTCGCAACGATTCAATTCGGCGTTGCATACTTGTTGACAACCGCCATTATCCTTATCGCAAATGTTTTTCTGACGGCATGTTCGACCGTCGGAACCAAGTTCAGCGCCGTCAAGGCATGAACAAACCACTTTTTCATTGACAACGTTACAGATGTCAGAGCAGCCGCCGTTGTCAGTTGCACAAAAGTCGGTCGAAACGCATGTATGTTTATCTTTGGTCAACACCAAATCATCGGGACACTCACAGAGGTACGAACCATCGATATTTTTGCATTTGTGCGAGCATTTGTGCGTTCCAATGGCACACTCATCGTAATCAATACACCTGGAAGAAAAGTTTGGTTTGGAAATTGTGTTGGCGGCTCTTTTTTCAATTCGAATAATTATAACTTTCTTTTATAAGTTTTGTTCTAGATTAGGATTTCGGTATACCTTTGATTATATTCGGCAAATCCATCTGGACATTCGCAGCCGAAGGATCCGTTCTCAGTATCGACACATTTTCCCGGCAAGCATCGATCTCCAGATGTGAGGCACGTATCAAATGATGGCGAAAGACATGTTTTCATGTCAGCATCCAATTTCATACCCTCCGGGCATTTGCAATGATATCCATCTTCTTCGTCAACGCAATCGTGTGAGCATTTTGACTTATTGGCCGAAATGTCATTCAAATGTTTGCAAAAGTCTTGTTCGCATGTTCGTTTATCTTCGCGCAGATGGTAATTGACCGGGCATCGACACATGTATGAGCCAACAGTATTGATGCATTCATGGCTGCAGATCGATTTGGCTGTCGGCTGATTGTCCTCATATTCATAGTCAGAGAATGTTGTACATTCGTCAATGTCTCTGCAAGAGAAATCCCCCACGAAACGTGATTACAAAATATTCTCTATACGGGGACAGAAATTTAGTGAGTTGCGTCATATTCACCTGCATGTTTTCTCGTCACTGTTGAGTTCAAATCCATCAGGGCATGTGCATTGAAAACCGCCGACAATGTTTTGACAATATTCGCAACCAGTGTTACCTTCAGCGCATTCATCGATGTCAATGCAATTGTTTGAATCATCCAATCGTAATCCATCTCCACAAGCCTTGACCGGTGCATTGAATTCAGTTGTATGTGACACATCAACGTTCGTCGGAATGATTTCAACTTCTGAATCCGACTTCAAGCAACGATACGAGCCAATCGAATTTTCGCATTCATTTGGACAAACATTTGGATCCTCGCACTCGTTAATGTCTTGAATAAGATAATAAAATTGAGGGAAAATATCGTGAATTTCAAATTTTTTGTTTTCTTCAAAACGATTGACAAATTTATTATTGTTCCGCGCGCGACATGACAACAACGTTGCATCAACAACACACCAATTCTTTGAATTTTTCATTTTCTCTCGAAAGACAACAACAACAAAAATTCTCTGCGTAACTGATTCATTTTGGTCGCATTTGTTTTGGTTTCATTTTTGGTGACGAAAAATCCGATTTATTTTTTTGTGTCTGTTTGAATTCGGCCTTTTTAAACTCATTCGGTGCGCGCAAACAAAATGTCCCGCGACCAACCAACAAATCAACATTCAACAAACATCAAAATGAGAAATGTGGATATTTTCACGATTTGTTGAGTAGTGCAGTAAGGCACCACACACACACACACTCACCAATTTTGTGTGAGCAATCGTTACACAGACATAAATCAGCACCTTTTATATTACTGTTGACGCCAGTTCAACCCATCACTATTAATTTTATACAAATTCTTTGTCTCCCGGTTTTTTTTTTTTCATTTTCATTTCCACGTTTGAATTTTTTTCCTTACCATTTGGCTAGAGACGCATTTCACGACAAATCAGATGTGATGGTTAAATTAGCGACGAGGTGAACCACAACAGTACGATATTAAAATGGACAGACGAATTTCCATTAGCTATTATTGTGGTTCTTTCCAATTTGTTCACATTTTGAGCGATAGACATCGTTGAGAGAGAGAGAGAGAGAGAAAGCGAGAAAAAAGGCGAGATATTTATTTAATAGACACATGACATCATCTTTGGAAACGGAAAATGTGAAAAATTTATCTGTTTGTCCGTCCGTTTGAGGAGAAAAATTGCGTGATGATGCAAAACTACATTTCGGAAATGGAATCAGTGGAGCGTTAATGGCTTATGCTTATCGAAAAATGTTCGAATGCGTCACTCCAAACGAGATCCAACGTCAAAAACTGTACCTTGGAAAATGGAAAGAAATGCTTGTTACAAATTTTTGAGCAGGAAGAAGGAGTTGCTGCGATTAATTTTTCGATTCAAATGACGCAATCGCTAAAATAGTCGTCATCTAACACGTTCGCAAATAAAAATGATTACTTTTACATTTTACACTAATGAGTTAATGTGAACGGATCGTGATTGATCGTGGCCAATTCAGATGGTATGCTATTAAATAGGTTGATTTATCATGATAGGAATGGCGGGTGTGTGTATGTGCGCGCGCTCGTTAAGCTCATCAAAGTTTGACATACGAACAACAGCGGAAAAGAAAATTATGCTTTTGGATGTATGCCTAATGATAAAACAGGCAACGATCAACGATCCTACGCAACACATTTCCCATCGTCATTTCATCTCACTTTGATACACACACACACGCATTTTAAATTGTGTTCGCGCCATTTGACACGTTGCGGATACCGTGAAGTGCAATAAAATGAGACAATAATCCATCTAACCTCGAACCAAAGCATTTTACCCGTGTCGATGATAAATTACAATTCCTAATGCGGTGAATCAGCGTTCATCAATTTGAACATTATTTCGTTTTCCTCATATTTTGCATTTCGCCAGTGATTTTCTTTTTCTCTTGACAACAGCGGAACATTGTGTTTCGGACGAGGCGAGAAGAGATTGAAGTGATTGTCATCACGGTGAAAGTTCACTTCAAACTTTTTAGCGAGAGAAAAGAAAATTGAGAGAGATTGAGAGAAAACGAACGTGTAGTCTGGCATTGGATGTTGGAATAAATTTTGCTGCATTAGCAAAGGAAATGGACGGGAAAATTTATGAGAGGCTATAGCCTAAATGCCTTTTGTATTATGTAAACATGAAGATCATGTCGCCGAGTTCATTCACGATACATGTTCACGTAAACCAGATATGTTTTGTATCGAGTTTAACGAATAGTGTTCGGCTGTCATGTAACGTATCTCCCTTCTTTTTTTTCTTCATTCAACTACATTGTAAGCGGATCGGTGACAAGTGGTAAGTTTATGAGTGAACAAATATAAAATGTGTATAAAAAATCAAATGGAATTTCGGTTGCCTGACGATATTTCCATATTGTATTCCATTTTCACCCAAGAAAATGGAGACGATGGAAAGAAAAATATTCGATAGATGAGCTGGCGTTTAAACTCTGCATCGTTCGTCTAATGGACGTTTGGCATCCAAATTTAGAAACACAAGCGCCGTAAAATTGTAGACATGCTAATACGGTTGATAGTTCATAAAATGCATGTTTTATTGAAACCGTCGTGCATTTTTGATGTCTTTAACTAGACCACGAATTTGGGAGGAAAAAAATAGTGAGAAAAACTTATGAACTCACCCAAACACTTCTTTCCTTCCGACGAATCCAAGTAGAAGCCAACGCGACATGAGCATTCAGCAACATTGCCGCCAATCTCCTCGTCTGGCACCATCGTACATATGTGTTCACAACCACCATTGTTCACCTCACAAGTGTCGTCAGCTGTTGAAACCTCTTTTGGAGCTTCGATCGGTGCCTCAGATGTTTCAACCGGCGGAATGATTTCATTTGTAGTGATTTGCTCATCAATTTTATTATTAGTTGGAGGAGCTACTGGGATTGGTTCAGTTGGCTCAACCGTCTCCACATGTGATTCGATTTCATTATTTTGTTGCAAGGAATTTGTAGCCGCATTTTCAGTGTCGGTTTTACGGCTATCGTCATTTCCATTTTGATCGTCGTCATCCGTTTCGTTGCCGTAATCCGCTGGGATTAGAGATGAATAAGTGTGGCGTGAATGAAAGAAAAAAACAGAAGAGAGAGAGAGAGAGAGAGAGAGAGAGAGAGAGAGAGAGACAGAGCAAAATAGACGATGTGAAAATTCTGGGAATTTCCTGATTTTTTTCTTCGTATTCAGAAGCAAAAAAAAAAAATTCAAACGATTGATGAAAAAAACACATTCAGATTAACGTTATGTTAATGTATTTTTGTCGCGCCATCAAAATTAGTATGAGTAACACGAGAAACTGATGGATACCCATTAATCGGTACACTTTATGGTTTCGAGTGGAAATTTCGATGCGTCAAGCATGTCCAAATTTAGGCAATTTCTCAAAATTAAAAATGCAAAAATCATTTTCAATCTCAACTAAAAATCAATCCAAATGTTGTACTTACAATCACTTTCGCCTCCTTTTGACACACAAACTGGATAATTGCCGACCCAAACTCCCTGACTACAGTACAATCGATTCGATTGTGGATTCTCCAAATAGAAATCTTCGTCACAAGCATAAATTGCCACCAAAAATTTGTATTCATCCTTTTTAGCTCTGAAAAACCGAATGCACGAAAATAAATACGAAATCCATTTCAAAGCATGTCACATAAAAGAATCCGTTAATACCGGATGTATTCAACGATATAGGCATCGTTAACGGCTGGTGCGACGGTTCCTTCAATGCACGACATGTCTAATCGGCTTGCGAAATCATCATCAATGTTATTGTCTTCTTGGAATTCCGGAATTTTCCCCTTTCGACGGCGTTTCTTCTGTGGATTTGAGTTTGGAGCTTGTTGTTCTTCCGGTTGTGATGGTCCTTGATCGGGAGACTCTTGTTCTTGTTCAACTATTTCTCGTTCGGGCAATTCTTGCGGAGTTGAATCGGGCTGAGCAGGAGTCTCAGGTAATTGCGGTTTCGATTCCGATTCCAGAGGTGGCGCTTGACTTGGTGGTGCAAGAATTTCATTTGTATTCACTTCGTTTGTGGATGGCTCTTCAACCGGCTGCAACACTTCCTCGTGTGTTATTTCTGGTGAAACGGTGGCAACGGCGTCAATTACCTCTGGAGCCTCGATTTCGGATACCGTCGAATTATTGCCCGTTTCTATTGCAAACCAAATTCAACTTTAAAAAAAAATCCATTTTAAAATGCGTATAATTTATGGTTTACCTAATTTACAGGCCGGTAAATCGCCCTGCCATTGATCCGTATCTGTGTCGCAGGTCAATCGTGATGCACCATGTAAATGATAGCCAGCATCACATATATACTGAGCCGTTACAATGACACCATCATCATCGACCGACAATTCCGTTCGGCCGTGCAATATGGTCGGTGGACGCTCACAATCAGTGTACACGGGACCGGCATACACTAAATTCATACAAAAAAAACAACAGCATCGAAGAAGAAAAACGAAAAAAAGAAATAAAGTGAGAAATAAAACTCATTTGGATTTTTTCTGAATGAAATGAAGAGTTAACAATACGTTCGAAAAATCGATTTATCTTGAAAAAGAAACATGCAATTAAATCCATTGGTGTGCGCTCAAAATGGACAAGACGATCGAAATTGAATGATTATGTAGGCTAAAATTGGTCAAACCGAAAAATATGTATCGACGCGATGAGAATTTTAGAGAAGAATGTGACCGTGTGTGTGTGTGTGTGTGTGTGTAAAGTGTGAAGATCGCGCAGAATCAACAAGAACACCCAAATATGAATAAATTATCAAATGTTCAAGTGATGGCGATAATGCGCATTCAAATGCATCTATCGATCGAAACGCATTAGTGCTTCAAATAAAGTGTGAAATTTCGAAAGAGCCGATATTGTGTGGACCATATCGGTGCTGCTGCGGTTTTTCTCGTGCGATTTCCAAAATGGTGCATAAACGGGACCGATACGATCGGATTTTTTTCCCAACCGTTTTTCTTTTCAATTTGCATTATTTGAAATGATTTTATCGTGATTTAAAGCTGTGAAAGTTCACAAATCCGAAAATTTATTGATTTTTGGATAAAATTATGATGGTTTTAGGTAACAATCGAACAAATAGCAAGTTCTGTTTTCGATGACCCACACACACACACACACACACACGCAACTTTGTCGTTGTTCACGACATTCCGAAACAAATGCACCGTTTTGGGAACTAAGAGTCACCCGTTTTCGATTCGATTTCGGAAACACCGATCGATTCGAAGTAGTGCATGTCACACGTCGTCGAGTTGCAGCAAGCAAAACTTTGTCAAACACACCTTGAATTAATGCTTTCTCAATGAGAATGAGAATAAAAAACTAATATCAATAAATACATCCCACGCGATAACAATAAATTAGACACGGAGCAAAACAACATAAAGAAAAACAGACCAACCGAAGCCATGAAGTGTGTTTCGATTGAGATGAGCACAATAATCAAAGACATATTTTAATTTATTATCAGACATTTGCATCTCTTGTTCATATTCGCTTTTTCTTCTCCGGCTATTTCGGCCGCGCCATGGCACAGCCTCAATGCATCATTTAATGCATTATAGTCCGAATACGAATGGTGCGTTTACCGTTAAAATGGTATTTTTTCTATTATTTTTTGTTCATAGTTAGATTCTTTTTTTAAGGGAATAGATTTTAAACTGTGGAAGAAGCAGGGCATTGGCACAAGGAAAAATTTAGCCTAATTTCTTCTTGATATTCAAAACGAACCATTTTCATTTAGTCATCCAAAATGTTATAGCACCTAATATCCGTTCAAAACCTTACACAAACAAATCAATATTTTCTTTCTTTCACGTGTCAAAGCACTCAAATCCTTGTCTGAGCCGATTTTAAAACTATGTGCGTTCTCTCTATTATGTATTTTTGTGAACTAGCGAATCCAATTCGAGCGGCCAAAAAAATTCTCTTCATTTTTTTTTATAAATGAAAAATCTTTTTTTCGCGGAAATTCTTCGCCTACAACGGGATTAACTTGTATTTTTAAATGGGCACCACTCCTTCCAGTTTTCATAACGGTATTTTATTTTCACAGATTCGCAATACGATTAATCAAATGATATTTTTATGCGAATCGCCAAACAATTTTTCTTCACGTTTTTGAATTGAAATGTTCTTTTTTCGACTTTCTCTACTTTTGAATTTCAATTTTCAATTTTTGATCATTTTTTTTCGTCCACTCGATGATTCTATGCCACCAAATGCAATAAAAGTTACAACTCCTTACCTGTGCAGCTCCAGCAAAAAGCGACAATCCAAACCAGTAAAATGTTCCGGTTCATGATTCAAAATCACTTAACCACTTCTCCCTACAAAATATCCTTCCTTTCACTTCCTTCAATCTTTTCGCACATGCACTGATACTTTTGCTTTGGACAAAGATTACATCCACATAATCAAAGCTCAAACGACGGTTTCCCGGTGAAAACGAAAATAAAAAAAAAATTAAAACGTGCAAACAATTTAACACGAGCCGCCAACGATATTTGGACTATTTCACCTCGCGTCTATATGTAGACTGAGAAAAATCGTTACAAATCGAGCTACACTCGAAAATCAAAGTTTGAAACCGCCTGCGACCATAATAGAACGTGGTATTCATTTCAGATATCGAGATCAATTCAGTCATGTGTGAGCGAGTGGCGCTCGGTTGATTCAATCATAGCTTAAGCATATCGGTATAAGCCATAGTTGCTCGATTAACCTAAACATATCATTGTGTGCTTGGTTTCATTTGTTTTTCAAAATAAGAATCGGAGTCATTGAAATAGTCGGTTTCATATCAACCGTATCACGTCCATCACATTTATGACACATTTGGTGGCGACGAATTTCGTGGAAAATATTACATTTTTCTTTCATAAAACAAAAGTTCTAAAAGAAAAGCGGCCGAAGTATGAAAATAGTGAAATGAATTATGTTGTCTTTGTTTTGTATCGTCATTGAATTATCATTTTATAAATAAATTTGCATTATGTAAGAATGTCGAAGGGATTTGTATCAAAATTCATTTTCTGAAATAAGAAACAAAGAGTGATGCAAAACGACAGAATATATATCTTTCGAATCAGATGTTACCATTGAAGTGATCCATTGAAGAGATGTCATTAGACGCATCCATTTGCGAGACACGAATCACGCCACCATGCATTCGTGCGATACATTGAAAGCGCCTAATAAACATAACAAAGGCAAAACAGCATTGGTGTTCTGTCAATGTGTTTTTTCGTACTGTACACACACATTGTGCCCGCATATGTATTCATAGCAACGTTGTGAGTGTTTTCTTCAATAACAACGCATTTAATCGCGGCCATTTGAGTTTAAAGCAATACAAGCACAGACAACGATGCATCATAGTGTTTGAAGTGAATGTATGCGAGAGCTCAATATTCATTGTGTGATTGGAATTTCTAGAATACGACACATGAAACACGTCTACCATAAGTTAAAGTCACAGAGTGCGAAGAGCAAAGTGAAGAGAAAAAAAAACAGAAAAGTGAAAAAAGCGTAGAAGTTGAAAAACAAAACAAAAATATGAATTTGTTACTTTTTTTTGGCGACTTTTAACCAGGGCCAAGTTAATGTGAATAGTATTTTGTGAAAAATTTAAACGCATCAAAAAAGAAAAAAAAAGTTCGATCAAATGTTAGGTGTGGACTAGATAAATAGACTTTTGTGCTATGACAAAAGCCAAGAAAAGGGAAAAACCAGATCAGAAACACTGTGTAGTAGCAGCAACAATAGCAACAACGACCACGCAATTCAATTAATTGAAATAATAAAGAATTAATTATGAATACAGCAAAAACAATGGTGAATGTTAGTCCAAAAATGTCAAATCGCGATGCGAATGAACGTGAACTGGAAAAATATGTGAAAATATTCAGTACAAAAGCCGTTCAGGCAATAGTTCAGTCACGCCTTGGTGATAAAATGCAAACATTCAGCAATCCACGATCGCTATCAAACGATTGGGTAAGTGGACCTTTCAAATAAATAACAATCACAACAGCAACAACACCGAGAAAACGCCGTGTGCATCACTTTCATTTCAGAAATGCCTTGAGACTTTCGATTGGTGGTTTGCTTTTCGGTTGTATTATTCCGAAGCAATTGAATCAAATCAAGTCAAACCAAAACGGAAACGCTCGAAATAATAGTTTCTGCGAATGAATACACAATGCAATGTATTTCTAGTTTCAGTTTCACTGTGTAGAAGAAAGGAAGAAAGAAAGAACGAACGAAAATAATAATAATGCGACGCATCTGTTGAGAACCACGAGTCAAGCATTTTAATTGCTCGGGCATTATGAACGGACAGGCTCAGTTCAGAAAAAATGCTGGCTTGATTATAAACAGACAAAACGCTTGGAAAATATTGAGTGTATATCAAATTCACTGCATGAAAATATGTCAGGGGATTAAGAAGAGATTGATTTTTTTTGACTTAGCCCCGTTGAATATATTCGAATGTGGGTTACATAAAGGTTTTTGCATGGAATGCTAAGGCGGCGACAGGCCGATAATTGGACAAAATCTATTGATTTGTTATTTGCTATGTCCGTTGTTGGGTTCTGCTTACATATGGGGCTCTTAGTCGACCCTTTCGTAGGCGATGCTCATTCATATTGGCAACTTGTTTACAACATTTCAACGAAATTATCAACGGCACCATGGCGAATCGTAACGCAAATTCATAAATTTTGAACGCAAATAAGACACCAATGCGATGTTCATGCGTCAAACACGCTCATTATGACTGAAAATGCATTGCGAAGGTAGTGTTGCATCGTCTATTAAAAAATTCGGAATTTCGGCTTTACGACGGTGTCACATTGACCGAACTCGTTCAATATTTATGCGCACAAATTCGTGACGAAAATCCTACCGAAAAGTAAAAGAGGCAAGCAAATAGAAAACGCTGCAAAAACGGAATCGTCAACGAATCGCACGCTATCGCATCAACAACAACAATGATATACTATGTACACAATGAACGATTGTCGTGTGATTGAAAAATGAAATAAAATTGACTTTCTGATAATTTTCACATTGCAACGTATTCGATTGATGTATGCAGTGTAATCCAAATATTGGATAATGCAATTTCGTTGCATGCATCTTGCGGAATTTTTGCTTTTTTGCATTTCATTTTGTTGCTTCTGGTGTGGCATGTTGTTTACGTGAGAATGCGTACGTGCTCGTAATCAAGTGGAGTTGAAACATTCTGTACACACACACATACACACACACACACACACACACACACACACACTTACACACACGAACGCTCACAACGAGAGACGAGCATGCATACGCTGGTGCCGCATCGTGCTCTCGCACAGACACATCCACAGATGTGTGTTTAACTCGTACACATGATTTGTTAGGCGGGAACTGAGACAAATTGCAGAACCAAAACTATATACACACTGACGTACAACAACAACAACAACAACAACATCAACATCAACAAGCCAAACAAAATAATAACACACGAACCGATTCAGTTTTGTGAAGCACTCTGGTTGTGCGGTAAGAACGTTCGTGCGGATGCTTTGACTTTTGTATACTTTTGTGAAAGCTCAAGCGAGATTGAGAAGAGAGTGTAGTGAAATAGGAAATAATCCGTAATTTAATTGAGTTTGTGGATAATTACAAAAATCGAACTCTTCGAAGAGGAAAACATCAATTGTGGTGAGAAATACAATCGATTATGTTCTTATTCCACAAACGTGATGTTGCTGTTATTTTTTTCCCTATGATTCTTTCGTTCATCGAAAAGATCATCATCTGAATTCCATCTCTTGTTTGTCGGCTGTGAATAGTTTGTTCTGCGAATACAAACTTGTGAGTCATTGTGTTTTGTTGTTCAGAATCGTTGAAAAAAAGAGACATTTATCATGATTAAATGCAGATTTAGTTGTAATCTACAAATCTATCATAAAGGTTGATATAATAAAAAAAACGACATATGAGATATCCGGGTAAGATCCCCGATTAAATCGTAATAAAGCTTACGAGTCTTGATAAGACATTACAATTGGCAATCCCCCCTTTTTCAAGACATTTGCTAATAGTTAATTTCCGTTCAATATTCCATTTGGCTGTAGTGTGATGAACTCATTCCAATAAACAATTGCATTCACGTTTCAAACTGCAGTCACAAGTTGTGATCTGATTTGATCGCATTCATGTGATTCCAAGCAATCGCATGTGCATGCGAAACGAAGCAAAAAAAAAACAAAGCAAAAAATAAATAAATCATCTGATAAAGAAAAAAAGCAAAAGGTTGTCAAGTTCTTTTTCAAGTGTGATAAGATACATATGGTGTGTACTCTGGAAGGCTAATCATGCTTTAAATTCGCTGATTTTGTCATTCTGTTTCGTAATTTACGTACTTGAGATTTGTTTCGGCCACTATCAGCAAAGCAAAGCGAAAACAATGACAGACAGAAAAAACTGCTACATCAAATGACGTGTCTCAAACGAATCTCGTTTGCATATCCCATTCGAAAAGTGTAAGCGTTGAAGTGAGTCGAACGAGTGAACAAAAAGTCAATACGAATTTCAAAGCATCAATCTGGTCTTATGAGTGCTTTAAATTGAATAATTGGAGTCTCAATCGATAATCTGCAGCACACTCAAACTTCCCTATACACATACTAGTAAAGAGCAACAACATCTCTTCGCACATTCTCTCGCCTGCTCTCGCTCTCATATTCCCGTGCCAATGCTCCAGCACCGCATCATTTTGAAGTGAATTTTTGTTTGTCTCGAGAGCGCAAGAGAGTTGTTGTGATTCATTTCCTTGTGCTCGTCGCCGTACCAGTTACAGTTTGTAGGCGTTGCATTATAACGTCGATTCAATATATATGGAATACTCTTATCAACATTATGCGATTGCCTCATACTGAAATTTTTTCTATTTCTTTCTTTCTTTCTTTCTTTCTTTCGTCGTTGTTGTCGTTCTTTCGTGAGCGCTCTTTTCTGTCATTCGTTCATTGTATGGTGAGTCAGCAGTGCAATCACTGTTCAGCTTATGCGATTTAAATTCAACTATCGTTCGTAGATTTTTCCACAATGTCGTATTTCAGTGAATCGAATGAGAGCGAGCTGCCGCGTGCACGCACACTCACTCGCATCAATAGCAACAATCAAAATAAGTCATTCAATTATCGGTACTGCCTTGAAGGTGGCGGCGGCGATGACAAATTCAATCTGGAAAAATTGGCAACCAAATTTCAAGAGCAAAGGCGCTTAATGCAAATATTAAATGACGTGGCGGTCGACACATCGCAACATAGGTGTGGATCATCAAAAATAGACATTCTGCTTTTTACACGGGCTTCGTCTACAAATAGCACACTCGAAAAAACCTTCTTTTTTTCCTCTCTTGTCATTGAAAAATTGGGAAAAATAATCTATAATATAGAGAAAAAAAGTGATAAATTTTGTTCGTGTGTCGTTTTTGATACGCTCCAAGGTTTGTGGTTGTGTGTACCTTGACATCACATGATTTTTGTATCGGCCAAAAAAAAAATTTTAATGAATTTTCCCGCATAATGTGTCTGATCGCGCTTTGATAGGCGCACATTTGAATTCATTTCAGCGCCAGCTGGCTGCGCCATTTTCAATGTGTTATATTTTTATGCATTTTCTTTCATAATCATAATTCAATTAGTTTTGCATACCTAGCCCTAATTGGATAAGAATTGAGTGCTCTCGACCGAAAGGTAGCCAGAACCACAGACTTGTTTTCTTTGTGGCCTGGTGCTTGCTGTTTTGGCGTTTTTGTTTTTGTTTTCATGTAGAAGTGTGTGTGTGTGTGTTTGCACTTTAGTGCTGTGTTCTCTTTGTTTTCTTTACATTCATTTCATTTGAAGTCACTTACCTTGACCTATAACGAGAAACAATCATTTTTCTCTCTTTCGGAAACTAGCGATATCGTAATGATAGAAAAGCACTTCGATCGTGAGCACACTGCTGCTTACGACGACAACGACGATGATGATGTTGATGCTCGAGACGAATATTAATAAAAATGAATATCAAACGGTTTTGAGAAGCAACAAAAAAGGCAGATGTGATTAGCATGTTTTGATTAGTTTTGGTATGCACCAGTGCCAAGCAAAATCATCTGTTCTAAGCCTGTGTTTAGCGTGCATTCTGCCGTTTTAATCGTCGTACATGCTTGTTTCGTGCAGTTGATCTGTGTAAGATTGAAAGAATTAAAATTTAACACACAGAAAATATCCCCCAGACAAATTCTACGACTCGTATGCAAGAGAATATCCCATTTCGAAAACCGGTTTAAAGCGCTCGTCCGTTCGCTAGCTCACGCTCACCATTGCCCATTTCCTTGTTGTTTTTTGTGCTAGATAATGATGACGTTCAACAATTTCTTGTGTATGAATGTTTTTGCGAAGTTTGTCATCAAAAAGGTGGATACGAACGAACGATAAAAAATGTTAATAACCGACCAAAACGACTACACAATAATGATGATGATACAGGAATGTGTTTTGGATTCACGCAATGTATTTACCTACATGCCACTTATGGTGTGGTTGATCGCACATCGCCACATTGATGACATTCACAAAACGGTGAACGCAAATAAATGAATTCCTATTTGAATGAACCTTTTTTTCTTGCGCCATTGCAATCATTTTTGGACATGAATGGAATGAAAACATTTCGAATTGAATCTGGTTCCGTGTGTCCGTTTTGTATCAATTCGGTGTGTGGCATATGCCATTCGCAAACTCCCACTCGATTGGAAACGAGATGTCGTGATTCACCGCATTTTGAATTGATCACAATTTATCGAATGAATTCATCTGTCCGGCGATGCACGATTTTTTTTTAAAAACGAATTCATCCACATAGAGATAATTTGGCGCCACAATAAAAATAAACGACTCAATTCGTGTGCTGCATGTAACATGCATGGGTTTTGATGTTAGTTTGCGCTTGCGCTCAATCACATACCGATACCGGGTTCTTTCCGTAAAGACCGACAGAAACATATTTGCATTTCAATCAAACGCAACAAATTAGATATTTAGCCGCAAGGCGCTACAAATAGTTGCGAGAAACAAGGAATTTCCCCGCAAGAGAAAAAAAGACACATCTCTATAGCTTACTAAACTACGCCGAAATTGCGAATATTTGCACAACTGCAAAATACCGTTTCGATATTGTGTAGTATAAATTGACGCAACCCCAACAAGGGATCCATTTGTCTTGCTTCTTTTTTTTATTTTTATCAATAGCAACAAGCCAATTGGCCGGTTATATCATCCACTTGTTCTAATAATATTTCCTCATCGCGTAATGGTTTTTTTTTTTTATTTGATGCTCTTTTTATCTCTCGCTCGAACACTACTACCAAGCGTCTGTGTATTTCGCTTCGAAAACGACTCTAAATATAAATCGCTCATAAAATCAAGCACGAAGCTTCCGGAGAGCTGCTGGGCCGTTAGATATGTAGGGAAGAAGTAAAAAGAAACAAGTCTTTTCGCTCTATTGTCGGCATCAGCTTTTGGCTTGACCTTACTGAACCCGCCCAAGATCACCTACAAAGTCACACACTCAGATATTAATATATTAAATATTAGAAGAAGAAAAAATACAAGAAAAAACTGCGCATACAATTTGCACGTTTTAATACATCAATCTGAAAGAGAAGAAGAAAAAAAAAACCGTTATCAAGTGAAATTGAAAATTTTAGTCAGCGATCGCTTCTGTTCAAGTCAAGTTAATTCAGAAAGATTCAGAGAAAAAAAAGGTGCAGAAAACGAATCAGATTCAAACATACGTTTACGATGGCTCAGCATCTCAGCATTTTGTATCTGCGGATATATCCGAGCATATCGATGACGCAAGTCACTGTATAAGTGGCGTGCGTTGATGTGCACAGCTACATCGATGTTTGATCAAATTGCGCATGTGTTTCTTTCAATAAAAAATGTTTTGAATTGCATTGAAAGAAAAAGTATTTAATAATCGAGAGACGTGTGTATCACAATAAACTGGTTTTTTTATCAATAAAAAAAGTCTGACACGTGAAGCAACACTGCAAAACAAAAAGCCCATGTGAAGTGTTGAGTGCAGCACATATTTTTCCGTCAAGTCAATACAGAAAATAAAAAGACAACAACAAACCGATATCCCATTAAGTAAACCAAGTGCAGTTGTTTGTTCAGTAGCTGTGTCGCTGTCATTGCGCTGCGTTGTTATATGGTTGGGAAAAAACCGAATGAAAGAAGGTTTGTAGTGATAAATATGCAACTGGTATACCGTGTAATTTATCCGAGGATGTGCGATCTATGTGGGAAACACAGTTCAATAGCTATTAAGCAGACGAATGCATTTTCTTCTGCTGCTGCTGTTGTTGTTGTTGTTGTGTCGTGTTCAGTTGTTTATATGCACTCTTCGATTGACTCAATATTGATATCGATATAGTGCACGTACAATCACTCATTCAAATTTATAAATGACATTTGATCCGAATGCAAAACAATAATAAATTTAGTGTAATCGATTCATTTTTTCATTCGACATGTAACTGGAATACGATATCAAACTAAAAATATCTAAACAAATGCGTATTAAAAATCGGTGTTGATCGTTTGTTAATCAACGCTAAAGTGGTGGTGGTTGCCGTCGCGACCGACCGTTGCTGTATGGTGTGACCATTTCTTTTGGGCTTTGTTCCATTCTATTTTGTTTATTTATTTTTTTCATTTCAATGTCAACAAGAGTTCGATGTAATCTAAAAAGTTATTTTCCTCTCAAAGTCGACTCGCTGTCGTTCAGAGAGTTGATCACTGTCGTTTAGAGAGTCGTTTGTGGATAAAGAGACAAAGACATCTCCGAAGCAAGTGTCAAGTGCGTTCATCGCAACTTGTTCGGCTCTTGTTTTGTATGTATGACTTAAAGTATTTTATTATAATCAACCATTGAATAATTTTCTAATAAAACGAATAATTTCTTGTTTTTCACATGTTTGCATCCATCGGTTGGATTTTTGTCCACTTTAAACCGGAACGAAATTCGTTTGTTGTTTGATAGCCGCTCATCCACGAAATATGAAATAATAATAAAAAAAGTGTCATTGAATCAAGGTTCCTTTAAATTATTGTATGTTTAGTGTTCAAATAATGCGTATGATGAGTTATTTTCACGGTAATCGTATGACAAACAGATCGGCTGATAATGCCAATTTCACTCTACAGCTGTCAACTCAACCACAAAAAAAAAGTTGCAAAGTCAAGCAAAACAATATTGACACAAGCAAAATAGCAAAGAAAAAAACTTCTAAATTCGGATTCAAAAGTGACTCTTCTCTCAGATGATTTGATAATTGCTTATCAACACTCTTCTCCTTCTTCTCCTTCTGCTCCTCCTTTGCCATTTTCGCTACGCGCAACTAGTGTTTACATCGTGTTCTTTTTTTCGTATTTGCCTTTATCAATTGAAATATATGAAACATCATCGAAAATTCAAGTGTACCGCTTTTTACCGAGTTATCAAACCAATTTATTTACTCTGATTGCAACCGAGCAATTTTTTCTTTTCGTTGAAACAGTTTCTCTCATAAAACATTCGTTATCGTCGTCGATGATGTATTTCGCAAAATTTAACAAAGAGAAATCAAAAGGTACTGGTTTAGTGATACAAATGAACCTGTAAACTTTGATTCGACCACTGTATTTACTATTTGTGTTTGCACCCAGAATGTGCAGCCACAACAGTTCAGTTTCAAAGTTCCATTATTAGATCCGCATCGATAATAATAAATAATCTGGAATTTTTTAATTGTGATAATTGGATGTTCAATTAATTTTGAAATTCTAAGAAATACTTAAATTCTTGGAATACACACTTAGTTTTGGGTTTTGGAAGCACGGTTTTTTCCATCGCAACTTGTTTGTTTTCGCTTTTTATTTCTTTCCATCGAAACGGTGATAACATTGAACTGACATTGTTCACAAAAACCATATTCAATTGTCGAATAGTATTAACCTGTTCACATATTTATCGATAGTTAACATATTGAATGCACCTGGATTCAAGTGGTTTAGGTCGACTATTACCAGTATCATTCCAGTCCATTTTGTCATTTACAATAATAAGTCATGCAATTTTATTCACATTACCAATATTAATTGTGTTTTTTCATTCCATTTCGTTATTTACAACAGTTCAACATTACGATTGATGATGAGCCAGAGAGTTTAGCGCAAACCAAGCAAGTGATTGAAACCAAATCCGGAGAATCCATATTGACTCGATTGCCGTTGTGTGTGGAAATCTCATTGAAAACTGCCGACAATGATACTATGATATTGGAAGTGTGGTCGCTATCATGCAATAGACAATTATTGGACAAAACATCAAGGGTTTCGTATTCCATTTATAATCGTATGGGCACACTGCTCAAGTCGTTGGTGCAAGTAACACGCTCAACGCCTGCATACAAATTGTCGCGCAAGAAGAGTATGGGATGTTTTGACATCTTTTATCGCATCTATTCAGGAAATCCACAAGTTGATAATTTAGGTAAGTGTAGTTATAAAATCATTATTATTCATAAGAAAGAAAAAAAATACCACAAATTTTGACTAACGATCCTATATATTTTTGCTGTTTTCGATAAAAATTTCAAGGTGAAGGATTCAAAGAGCATATTATTGGTGACTTAAGTACTAGTGTCGGACAGTTCAAAATGGCCGTGGCATATAGAACCAAAATGACCATTTCACCAACACAAACCGGTCGAGACACCACATTAATGCTGAAAAGTGATCATTTTAACGATATCAGCCCCAAGACACAAATTCGATATCATATTAAGAAAACGTGAGTGAAATTTTGGATTTCGATTACATTTTAAAAACAATTCGAACAATTGGAATGTTTTAAACGTGGGCGTTTTCCTATTTTGTCTTTTTTCAGGGAAAAGAAAGTGATCGATCTCGAAAAACCGCTAATAACTGGTGCTTTTGTCGATCCATCAAAACTTACACAGTACACAGAAAAAGATTATATTCTGCCAGAAATTCCACCGTTCAGCTGGTTGATCAAAAATCCAAAGGTAAGCGTCGAATGTTTTTTCAACATTGATTCAGACGCTTGAAATGCGTTCGCTTTTTATTTCATGTGTGTGTCCGTCAAAACAGAAGGAAACCAAAAACGATGAAGTCAATGAAAATGATAAGAGCAAAGCGAACAACGGCAACATTGACTGTCCTGGCTCACCCGATTCAAGAAAAATGCTAATTAATAACAATAACAACAACATAAACAATAACAAAAATCTCAATAACAACAACAACAACAACAATAACGTCAATGCGAATGGTGATGACGAACCGAAGAATGGATTGGACTCGAAGAATGACAGTTTGACGAAAAACGATCGATTCCGATTTGGCTCATCGAAAACACTGTCACGCGAAGAGGATCGAATTCTCAAAGAAATGGTAAGAATAAAAAGGGAAATTCTTTGCTTTATATTTCCCCCCTCAGAATGATTCAAATTGATGATAATCATTATTTGTAATTTGCAGAGTTTTCCATTCGCAACCGCGACGCCAATGAAGGATTTAGCCAAATTTTATCGCGATTGCTTCAATGCACCACCATTGCATGCGTTTAGCGAACCATTGCCACCGCTTGTGCTGAACGGCGACGCCGTAAATATGGCAGCCGCTGAGGAAATTATTGAGACTGAAGCAAATGATCAAGCCGCTGATGCTGTAACCAAATTGCTAGAACAATTTGAAACGTCATTGCCCGACTACGAAACGCTAGTTACATCACTGTGTAGTCACTCAATCGATAAGAATTCCAACAGTTGAAAGCATTCAAATGATGTACATAGAAATACGAATAATTTCCCTTCGAACATTTATTTAACCACACACAAATTAAATCCAATATTGAATGCATACGAAAATGTGAATTGGCGCTAAAACAAAAAAAAATAACACCCGTTGAAATGAAAACGATAATCAACCATTACGGCGTACCAAATGACAGAAATCAATCCATACACTCGTTTTTAACACACGAAATTCGAACAAATCGTATTGCAAAATTCAATAAAATGAAATCTACATTTTCATTCATTTATTTATTGACGTCATTAGGGCCTAGGTCTTTGTTCAAATTACTGATGCGACCAAGTTTTTATTGAATTTAAGAACACCCACACTTAAATGACCGAATGTAGAGATTAGAAAAAATCAATTTTCAATAGAAATAATCCAATTTCTTATGAGAAACAAGTAAACAACATCATATTGAAATGGAAAATGTAACCAAAATAATAGGCAGTGCCGGAATATTCAAGACTTGATAAGTAGAAAACTCGTCTGCCAAAGAATTGAGCTGTGCATCAAGTTTTTTACAACGTTTTGCATGACTTGAACCTCCCCTAGACATCTGTGAGCGATGCGGTGGTGGGGCGCCAAATGATGCAAACTCTGTTATGAAAGATGACCATAGACTGTTATTCGCAAGTTGCATCACATGCGCTCTCGTGTGTGTGTGTGTACTCGAACTTGTGATGGCAGGGAAAATGACGCACAATTAAAGTGGCCAATACAAGTTAACGATTAGATTTTTAACATTCGGACACTGTTATTTTGTTCATTGCGAAAGGAAATTTATTCCGTTTTTTCTTTGAAGAGATTTACGAAATTTAATGCTCAGAAAAAGATTGTTTTTCTTTCTCCTGTCTAACAACATCCCAAGAAACAATGATATCTTATGATTGATATTACCGTTTTGTGAACAGCAATTAAAATGAATGAAAGTCAACAAAATCTTTTATGTAAACTCTTTGAATAACGTGCTAAAATGTGCATCCAATATTTTGAAATGTTTTGTTTTTTCTTATTGTCTGAATTTATCTATTTTGCTAAATGCTATGTAAAAGGTTAATGTTGTGTTTTTGGATGCCATTGCATATAATTTTGTTGAATAAAAAAAAAACCATTTGGATCAATTAAGAAAAGCTAAAAAAGAGTTTGAAAGAAAAATAAAATGAAAACGAAAAAAATTCAGCATTACAATTTGCATGTGCTCGGCTGAACAGCCGATTTATTTATTAAATGCGATCAATGACATGTTTTACAGTGGTAATGTTACAAAAAAAAACGATTTGATTTATTGAAGAGAAATTGAATATTTATTTTTGCATAAATTCATATTAAAAGAAAAGTTGAACTCACATATCAACTGGCATTCTCGTATAAATTATTTATTTGCTACGTTGGTTTTTAATCCAGTAAGCGCTTCTTTTTCTTCATTTAACAACGAAAACTGAAAGCAATGGGGCATATCTCTCGAACTTTTCGAGCTATTTACTTGCTATGTTTACATTTTTCTCTGGTATTTTGCTCAAAGAGGCCTAAACCCACATTTGTTTAGTTCAGCTGAAGTTTGAAATGAGTGTCTCACTGTTTTCACATTAAAAATTTTCTAGCTTCAGGCATAAAGTTGTGGCGAACCGAACGCGGTGACATAAACATTTTATGGAAGACATGGAAGAAACATTTAAATTAGTTGCTTTTTAACCGAAAAACATTTCCATCATGCCTAAACAGTTTTTTTGCCGAATTTAAAATGGAACAAAATTTTTATAAATTAGAAATACTCGTAACAAAATGAAAAAAAAGAAAGAAAAAAAAAGAAAAAGTGATGCGAAATTGAAATGATCTGTGAAAGACAAAGAAAAACTTCACTTAAATCGCAAGTCTGTTTTGAAACAAAGAAAAAATCGATTTTTAGGTAAATTGTTCATTTTTTTGATGAACCAAAAAATGTTTTTTCATAACCAAATACGTTTATATGCTGCATCGCATCATGTTGATATTTTTTTTCTATTTTTATTTTGTGCCTTACCGCAACCGTGAAATTGTATGCAAAACGTTAGGGGCTAACCACGGTTTTAAAAATAACCAATAATGACCGACTTTAACGTTTTTTATCATTTAAACAAATAAATTCCGATATGATCACATTTTGGTCGATTTTGCCCGATTTTTGCAGTAATTTGTTCGCTTTAACGAATGGATACTGTTCTAGAAGCGGGTTTTGGTGCATCCTCAGGATCGTTCAGAACTGCTCCCGATTTTGGAAGTGGGTTTTGGTGGATCTTCAGGATGGACCAGACTGGGTTTGACAATGCCCTGGCCCATCCTGAGGATCCACTTTCAGAACCGGGAGCAGTACTAAACGATCCTGAGGATCCACCAAAACCCACTTCCAGCATTTTTGAATCGGTAATGACGTCAGCACATTAAACGTTTATAGTCGATATTAAACGATAAAATTCAATATATACAGATTTTTTCAATTTTTTACAGATGTGATTAAAATTGGGCGATAAAAACAGATTTTGTCAATAAAAAATCCGTGGTTAGCCCCTAGGCGAAACGTTTCAGAAAAAATTGTGCTTTTTTCTTTAGTTTATGGCAAATTTCTTTTGAACACAAAAACATTTGTAGTGAATTACTCGATTCACTTGATTATATTGAACCAAATATTTTTTTCTTCATTTAATTCGTTTCATTGAAATGAGACTGGATTTGGCGGCTGTTCCAATAAAAGAAAAAAATTGTACTTTATTCGAAATGGAAAACAATTAGTTAATTTTTTCGCATTAATGCTCAAGACAAGTGCTGTTTTTTTGCTCAGGATAAATTTTCGAAATTTTCCCAATGGGAGCAAAAGGATTTTTGGTCGGTGCGGCTCGCTAGGCCGCACCAAATTAGGCCATT